TGATCAAGTCAGCAGAAAGAGAACCTATCATTATTCCACCAAATGGAGAAGTACAAATCCAAGGTTTTGTCGACAGAATGATCCCTTATCAACAGACGATAGCTCTCATACAACCAACAGTCAAGTCATCTATTCCAAAGGATTTAGACATCATCCCAAACCTTATAGACTACAACTATCAAGTACAGGAACCAGTACTAGTTACAGTTAGCAATGTTACTACTAGAACAGTAAAGGTTCCACCCAGAGCTCTTATTGCAGAGATTCAACCAGTCACCATGGAGGAAATGCCTGAAGAGTCTGCTGCAACCAATTCTAAGACAATCACAGAACAGGATTCATTTAACATATCAAGGGAGAATTTAAGCAGAGATGAATACTTTGCAGTTCAAGAAATGATTCTGAGAAACAAAGATATGTTCTCAAAGGGAGACACAGATATCGGACATGTGACAACAGTTAAACACAGAATTGAGTTGACAGATCCAACGCCATTCAAACAAAGACATAGACGAATACCACCATCAATGTATAAAGAAGTTAGAGACCATCTACAACAGCTATTAGAAGCAGGAGTGATAAGAAGATCCAAATCACCATTTTCTAGTAATGTTGTCTTAGTGAGGAAGAAGAATGGAGAATTAAGAATGTGCGTGGACTATAGACAGTTGAACAACAAGACCAAAAAAGATGCTTATGCCTTACCACGAATTGAAGACATTTTAGACAGCTTATCTGGGAATTCATACTTCACCGTTTTAGATGCTAAATCAGGATACCATCAAATTGAAATAGAGGAAAAGCATAAGGAAAGGACTGCATTTACCGTAAGCCCATTAGGATTCTACGAATACAACCGCATGCCGTTTGGCTTATCCAACAGCCCGGCCACATATCAACGCCTAATGGAAGACTGCCTAGGTGAGTTACATCTGAACATCTGCTTTATATTTCTGGACGATATTATCATCTTTTCTAGGACCTTCGAAGAACATTTACAACGACTTCAACAAGTTTTTGATAAGCTGAGAAATGCAGGACTGAAATTATCCCAGAAGAAGTGTACATTTTTCCAACAAAGAGTCAAGTATGTAGGACACATAGTTTCCAACAAAGGTATTGAGACGGACCCGGACAAAACCAGTAAAGTCATCAACTGGCCTACCCCTACAACACCAGAAGAGGTTAGGAAGTTCCTGGGATTCGTAGGATACTACCGCAAATTTATTAAGAATTTCAGCAAAATTTCCAAACCACTATGCCAATTAATGCCAATTCCAACAGAGAGTAAGAAGGCAGCTAAAAAGAGTTCAACAAAGAAATGGAAATGGGGCACTGAAGAGCAGCAAGCATTTCAACATCTAAAAGACGCCTTAGTATCACCCCCAGTTTTAGGTTATGCAGATTACAACATCCCATTTGAACTCCACACAGATGCGAGCCATCAAGGACTAGGGGCAGTACTCTATCAAGAACAGAACAAACAGAAAAGAGTTATCAGCTATGCAAGTCGAGGGCTGACAAAAGCAGAAAAGAACTATCCTGCCCATAAGTTAGAATACTTAGCACTGAAGTGGGCAGTGTGTGACAAATTCAAAGATTATCTGCTGGGGAGTAAGACCAGAGTACTGACGGACAATAACCCACTCACCTATGTCCTCACAACAGCTAAATTAGATTCGACAGGACATAGGTGGTTGGCAGCTCTTGCCAATTTTGACTTAGAAATTCAATATCGACCAGGTAAGAAAAACTCAGATGCTGACGGACTCTCTAGACTAACAGGACAGACAACTGAATCTTGTTATATTTCAGATGATTGTTTTAAGGCTGTTTGTAATTCAATTCAGTTAGATATTCCAAATGTAGAAAATTTATCTTTTGATTCAGAAATTGTAAACCAGTTGAACACACAACCCCCATGTCAGTTTAAACAGGTCAATTGGATAGAAGCACAGAAAGAGGATGCTGTTCTCAGAAATTGGATCCATCATGTAAAGTCAGGGAAGAAACCAAGAATGGAAGATCTACCACCATCCCACCATTCATTGGCTCTCATAAGAAACTTCTATTCCCTTGACCTAGTTGATGGTATTTTATTCAGGAAAACAAAGATAGATGACAAAGAGAGGAAACAGTTGGTAGTCCCAAAAGACGTAGTACCAGTCATTTTGAAAAGCCTGCATAATGACTTTGGACACCCAGGACGAGACCGATTGATTTCTTTAGTAAAGGACCGTTTCTACTGGAATGACATGAACAATGACATAGACAACTGGGTGAAAGGATGTCCAAGATGTTTAAGAAGAAAAGTACCAACCAATCAACGTGCACCACTAATACCAATAAGAACATCATATCCACTCGAATTAGTGTGCATGGACTTCTTGACCTTGGAGCCATCTAAAGGAGGTTACCATCATATCCTGATAATAACTGACCATTTCACAAGATTTGCCCAGGCCATCCCAACAAAGAATCAGACAGCAAGAACAACAGCTGAGGCCCTCTATACAAATTTTATGACCAAGTACGGCTTTCCAACTAGAATACACAGTGACCAAGGAGCCAACTTTGACGGTAACATCATAAAAGAACTGTGCAATATTACAGGGATGAAGAAATCAAGAACAACCCCTTATCATCCCATGGGCAATGGCATGTGTGAAAGGTTTAATAGAACACTTATGGACATGCTCGGAACACTCAACCCATCACAGAAGTCCAATTGGAAAGCTTACATCCCACCATTGGTACATGCTTATAACAGCACTAGGCACGAGAGTACAGGGCAATCACCATACCTGCTAATGTTTGGGAGAGAACCAAGGTTACCTATCGATCTAGCCTTCGGAATCAACAACACAGAGAAGAAAACAATGACAAAATATGTAGAAGATCTAAGAACAAGAATGAAGTCCGCATATGAGTTAGCACTAAGAGCAGCAGAAAAAGCAAGAATAAAACAAGGTAGGTATTACAATCAGAAGGTAAGAGGTGTTAATTTACAAGTAGGTGATAGAGTTTTAGTGAAAATTGTAGCCTTTGACGGTAAACATAAAATTGCGGATAGATGGGAGGAAGAGGCATACATAATCATCAAACAACCTAACCCTGACGTACCAGTATATAAAGTACAAAGAGAAGATGGCCTTGGAAGAACAAGAACACTACATCGAAATCTTCTGTTGCCAATAGGATGCATTGACCCAGACCAACAGCAGATTGTTCCAGAAAAGCCAAAGCCCAAACCAAGATTAAAGAAAGTACAACCAACACAGGAGAAGGAAGAACACAACAAGGAAACTGTTACAGAAGTAGAAGAGAATGCAGATCTTAGTGATTCTGAGGATGAATATTATTTGCAGGTACCGGTACCAAGGAAGGGTAATGCTCTAGAAGATACTGAACACAGTATTAGGGAAGAGAGAGCTGAAGATAGAGCTGAGGAGAGAACAGAAGATAGAGAAGAAGAAGCCAGACCAGAGCCAGTGAGGGAAACCCGGGAAATCCCTGCACCCCAGTCAGAGGAGGGTGGTGGCTTAGGGTCAGGAGATGAAGCACAAAGGTCAGTAAGAAGATCTGCAAGGCAACGTAAACCACCGAAACATCTTGAAGATTATAAAGTTTACCAGATCAAAGACAGTAGTGATACCAAACACAGAGAATTAGATATGCTCAGACAGATGTATTTTATGACAGATGTTCCAGAAGAAAGAACACTTTTATTGAAGAGCATCATCAGTTTCATTAATAAAGATTAAATACAACTACATTTTATGCTTTGCTGTATAGTAAATGACAGGGACGTCATTTCTCAGCTGGGGGGAGTTTGTGGTAGTTGTACTTAGTTTTATTTTATTTTAATTAATGCTATATATTTTATTTCAGGAATTAATCATTCATTCATTCATCCATACATCTATACAAGCGCTGCGCCTGCATTACTAAATAATATATTATTTATTTATATGTTTAAATCATAAACATCCCTATTAAATAATGGTTTAACCCAAAGACTATGGGTTAAGGTAGATATAAGGATTAGTCCATTTATAAATAAGGGTATTGTCTGTCTTCCTACATTCTATTGGTCAGTTGGTATTGTTTGGTCAAAGTTGTCCATTCAGGCGGGAAACCTTTGTTTTATTATCCCATTCAAAGATACTGTCTGAGAAGGGTGTAGCTAGAGATTTGTGATTGCTTAAAATTTAATTTTTGATATTTTGGAGTATATTAAACACCCATAAACTGTAAGTAAACCTTTTATAAACACATCTAATGATCATAAACTAAAATTAAAGATAATGAATGATAATAAAGTATTTTAATATAAACTTGCTAAATGAGTATGAATGTGCTAGAGTGAAAGTTCTAAAGTTATTAAAGTTAAGATCGATATTGTAAAGTAAGAGCAAGTTATATGTTTTAATCTAATTCATGTAGATCTTTGGATTAAGATCTGGGTTTGAATTATTATGATTTTATAATTTATTAATCCATTAGGTCATCATGTAATAATTCTTTAAAGTCATCCTGATTAAGAGATAAATCACTCAGTTCCATACACTGGTATGTTAAACTCATATTTTTAAAGTATTGTAAATATTTCAGTATAGAGAAATATAATTTACATCATTAATTCAGTAAGAGTTTCAAAGAGTTATCGCCCTTTGAATGCGTTTATATAAAGTGTAAAGTAATGGCCTAAATGAATGTTTTATGTGTTTAAATTGTGATCGTTTTGTGTTGTAAAGTGAATGTGCTTGTTTATATGTTGTCTATGTATTTATATGTTGTTATTGTTATTTTAGGGTTGATTTAAAACATTTAATTCATCTTGAAATCAACTATATATCTCCACGGAATAAATACTAAGAATCCAACCCTATATACCATCTTGCAGTCATTTTTTAATTTCTACAAGAACCGGTTACATTTGTAGCATATTAGTAAAATATAATAACTGAGATACCAATTGCTAGCGTATATTATTATACCTGTATGTACAGCATAGCATCGTCATCATCCAGCTCCCTAAAAAAGACAGAAATAAAATATCTTATATACTTGTATTCAACACATTATTTCATTCTTCTTGAAATTCATTAAATTATTAAAGCATTTTAGTTATACATGCAATATCTACTGTGTTGTAATAGGTTGATACATAGAACTGGATAATATTCTCTGCAATATAAAGCATTAAACACGTTTAATACTGCATGAGGAATGAACAGACTGAAAGCATAAAAAGGCAGCCTTAAAATACTGTGTTGCTGTAAAGGAATCAAACCGGACAACGAAGATGTAGTTTAAACTATGCCATGAAAAATCTCTGACATTGCTTACCGCATTTTGCATTTTCCAGACGTAAAAATTCTGATGAGGTATTTCCCCTCTACATTGGGGAAGCTTGTCACTGGCAGGATGACGTAATATCCGGCGGGTAATCTGAAAAATCCCACATTCTCTCGCTCAGTTTTAAAACCAGTCGTGGCATAAAGTCTGCTATGATTGAAAAAGTACGCTGTGAGTCTAGAAGATTGGTCCTTTGGAGCCTAGAAGAGAAAGAAATACAGGAATTATTGACTTAATTGTTGCTACTTGAAATGGATTATTATTTTGGCTCTTATAAACAGAATGATTTACCAGTTCCTTGCCAATGAAAACATAACTGTGCCTATGATTTTTTTTTAATAACGGATAGACTATAAATTACTTTTTCCTATCATATGTTACTACAAATAACACCAAAGAAAAATAGTAGCGATGATAAACCAAAACGTTTTGGTTAAAAATGGAGGATGAAACACATCAAAATCTTTGTCAGTGCTTAAATATCTACAGTACATAGAGATTCAGAATGCATTGGAATACTAGGTATCTTTTGCAATGTTGTTCGTTATTTTCATATTTCATCTTAAACGTCATTTGTTTAAAGTTCTCAGATCATTCTATATGAGAAGTAACCTCTTGCTGTGGCTTTCAATTCGACATTATTATATATCGATTTATCATTTTCGATCAGATGTCGAGTCAAAATATCAAACTCAAATCCTAATCTGTTTCGTATCTGGATGTTTTACTGACTATAGATATTAATGGCCAACTAACAACTAAACTATATGACAAACGTAATTTCAGCTTTTCCATTGCCAACTTTTTCTATTTATGTAGTAATATTCAAATGTCATAATGGGCATATGTCTCCCAACTGATTCTGTACGTAAGAGAGGATTTTCTGAGCACAATCAATTTTTGAACCGAGGTAGACTACTGACAAATAGGTTGATATTAAAGGGCTTTCAAGAATCTCTTTTGTATGCAGAATATCGCTAATTCTTTGGTCGTTACTCTGACCTTGTTTGTAAATAAACCCATCGTTGGATCGTATTTTGGTCCACATGTTTAATACCATTTGATTTGTCAATGTTTTTATACTAAATATGACTACGTAAACTTCATTTACCTGATCAATACAAGAAGCTCACAGTGGATATGACCCGTTGACATGTGATGCTTACTCCTCCTACACACCTATTCCCACCTTTAATGTTTCCAGGGGTCCCTGTTTTGCCCTCGTCACAAGTTGTGTTGTTTACAGGATTTTAGAAATCGTTCAGTGCTCGTTATCTTCACATTTTTCATTGACTCTCGGCGAAAATTAACCCCTTGAACTCATACTAACTCAGTGAACCAGCTTATGAATAACAGTGAACGATTGAGAATATTTCATCCTTGTAGAAAGTCTCCAACAATGAATAATTTTGAGTGGTTGATCGCAAATATTGTTATAAATATATGCTTCTTTTCTAACACAGCTGAAATATTTAGGGGCTATATGGCAGAAAACAACAAATAATAACCTGGTATATAAGACATCCACATGACAGGAAGTGTCTGACGTCACCACATAATCTGTACTTCTGCATAAGAGAGATGATGACGCAACAAGCAGACGGTACTTCGAGGTAGAACTGATTGTTGTGCCAAAGCAGAGCTGTATGTGGAAAACAAAGAATACCTTATTAATGATGTTTTCCCATAATGTTCTCTTCAGCAGGACTGTTATAAAATCAAATGTCGGCAAAGGCTTGCAACAAATACAGAATATATTATCCATATATTTGCAAATCATATAATCATCAGAAAAGTCATATTACAGAATCTTTCATGCAGACACTCTCGCGAATAAAACAACTGAGACATTCTTAGGATGTAAAATAATTAATTCAGAGACGCATTGGATGAAAAAAAAAATATATATCAGACACTATCAGGATAGACAATTTGAATAATAAAAACCACTCTGATTGTACACACAGGTACTCTGAAGTTGATATTAAAAGGATGCTGGAATTCCTCATTGACAATATTTAGGTAGTCTTCGGAGACCAAGTTCTCCAACAAACTGTTGAAATTTCGATTAGCACTAATTGTGCTCCTTTATTAGCTGACCTGTTTTTATATTCCTATGAAGCAGAATTTATTCAAAAACTTCTACACGAGAAGAGAAAAACACTAGCTATGGCCCTCAATTCGACATTCAGATACATCAATTTATAAAAGTGATTTTCATTCGTATGTCGACTCGATATATCCCAGTGAACTTGAAATAAAAGACACCACAGACACATCTGTTTCATATTTAGATATTTTACTGACGATAAAGGCCAATGAACAATTAATTGTATGACAAACGAGATGACTTTAGCTTTTCCATCGTCAACTTTCTTTATCCATGTAGTAATATTCCACAATCACCTGCTTATGGTGTTTATATTTCCTAATATATTCGCTCCTCAAGAGCTTGCTCTGAGTATGATCAATTTTTAAAGCGAGGCACAGGCTACTCACTGATAAGTTGATGTTACAGAGATTTCAACAGCCTCCTTTAAAGTCAGCATTTCGTAAATTTTATGGTCGTTATAATGACCTTGTTAGCAAATATAACCTATCACTGGGTCGTATTTTGGCTGACTTGTTTCATACCAATTATTGTTAGGTCTTTGTTTTGCACTGAATTGACTACGGATAGTTCCGTCTACCTGATCAATACATAGGGCTCACAACGGGAGTGACCGGTCAACAGCGGATGCTTACTCCCCCTAGGCACCTGATCCCACCTCTGGAATTTCCAGGGGTCCATGTTTTATGCCCTCTTCACATATTTGTATTGTTTGTCGATTTTTTGAAATTGACCACTGTTCGTTATCTTTACTTTTTACATTGAAGAATCTCAGAGTATTAAAAAATTAGCTCATTTACACTCTCAAGGTAAACAATACCATGATTCATTCACACACTCCCAGGGTATAATTTAGGTCAGACGATACATTCCTCAAATATCTGTTTGTATATATTCGAATCGTATTGTGTGGAAAATATTCAAAATTATAATTACCTTCTGATTTCTAAAATGGTTTCTAATTGTCTTTAAAAAATTGAAACGCTAAAAAATGTGTTATTGGCAAATAAAGTTTTTTTCCAAAAGGATTATACAGGAAACATCATCCTCTGGTATCTTCCACAAATGCCCCATAAGGTACCTCAATTTTTTGCGAGTAAACATGTTAAAGTAGCAATACTTCAGTGACAAAATCATAGAAAAAATTATATAATTATTATTGAGGAACGTATCGTCTATCCTTAATACTGATTCATTTACACACTCTTGGTGTATAAAATTATATAATTCATTCACAGACTCTCAGAGTATAAAATAATTTTGAATCATTCTCACAATATCAATGTATCAAATAAGATTCATTCGCACACTCTCATGTTATGAAATAAGATTTATTCACATGCTTTCAAAAAATAATTTAGTGCGATTCATGCACACCTATCTATGCATATAAAATGACTCATTAGCTGCTGTTTTTTGCCCTGTTCACATTTCATATTGTTTACTGAATTTATGAGATTAATCACAGCTCGTTATATTCACCTTTTACACACATTCTCAGGGTATTCAATATTGTGAATCACACACTCTCAGGGAATAAAATAATCCATTCACATACAGAATATTAAACAATATGATTAATTCACATACTCCCAGGGTATAAAATAACATGATTAAAGCACACACTCTCAGGATGTCTACAATAATATAAATCATTCAAAGACTTGAATTTGAGTCACTAGGTACTCATGTTATTAAATAAAATGATGAATCCATACACTCTCATTGACTCAGGTCTCTTAAAATGATAAAAATTGATTCAGTCAGACATTCAGTTCGATGGAAATTTATAATATATGCCATGTCTGCTGCCTAATCCAATTATGTATTTAGCATAACTTATGTAAAAATTACAGACAATCTTGGGTTAAAAAAATGTATTATTCACACTCTCAGGATAAATTATTCGAACACTCTCATGGTATATACTGACGTGAAGAGGCTGCTCCTCCAGCATTGTAGCCCACCCTCCACTCTCTGTGTCCTACAGCCGCTCCCCAGGATTTCCTATGCTGGATGGAGGGCTCACATTTCCAGCACTCAGGACCCAGGTGACAAACCTCCAACATGGTGAAAATGTTGGAAAAATCAACAAACGACATCCTAAAATAAAACATTGACACATTTCATCAGCAATGCAAAAGAATACTAAAAAATACAGATGTTGAGTACATCTATTTTCCACAGTAAAGGTAACCTTGGCATTGATTCATTATCGGAACAAGGACATAAATCTAATTCATTGAAGTTAATTTTGAGTTCTTCCTAAAACGCATTGCAAAGTTGAAGGTCATGGATGCTTGGACATGATGATCCACATTAACTGGAAATATGTCATCTTATACCCTGATTTGTCAGATTGTCTGTAAGAATTCTAAAGTATCATCCTTTTTAAAAAAAAACGTGTTTTCTGTAACAAATTAATAAAATAAAATTATTAGATTTCAAACACTTTTTGAAAGAGGATTCCAGTACAAAAAACGGCCAAATGTTGGAATTCTCTGCAGTTTACTTCAGATTACTATTGGGCACAATTCAACACTGACAAAGAAAGATAACTGAAATAGTTAACACTTATTTCTAGAAATATATTTAAGTTGTGGCTTAAATTGTCTAGTTAGCTGAAGTGTTTTTCTCCTTGTTTTTCTCCATAAGTTTTCTTTATAATGCAACACCTAATTTAACAATTTCATATTCATGATTTAGAAAATTTTACTAAAATTATCAAAAAAAAAAAAAAAAAAAAAAAAAAAAAAAAAAAAAAATAATAATAATAATAAAAATTATCAGCATAAAACCTAAAGTAAGACTTCTCTCTCAACAGTAATCTGTATTTTCTTTGGAAACAGGGTATGGAATGTCTGTCAATACTTTTTTGGGGAGGTTATTTCAATTCTTACCAAAATTCTCCATCCTCAGAATTTGTCGGCTTCAGTTTCTTTAGTGCATCCTGACCTAAGGCTCCCCAGTGTGGTGATCTTAATTATTAATAACAAAAATAAAGGAAATTAAAAAACACAAAATTAAACATTTTGTTAACTGAAATATACAAACAGAACAAAATAACAATATCCATGACACGGCTCCCTCTTTTATTTGACAATTTTTAGATGACTACCCATCACTCCAAGCTCCATTCCACTCAAAATGTCCCCACGGATTTCTCAGCCGAATCAAAATGATCATTCCATTTTTCACCGGTATCTACAAATGAATGAAAGCATTTTTTGTTAATTAAAAAACATTATCTCATTTGCAAATCATTTAATCAAAATTACCACGCTTACTTGGGGAGGAGACATATTACAAAAGACTGATGGAAAAAAAATGAACTCGGTTTTTCTTTTTTTTTTTAGCTCATATTGGCAATACTTGATTGTATGGGTGTATTCCATTGATCTGGACAGAACCTAATACATGTACATTGAAGGTATGTTTTTTTTTCATAGAATGTAATCTTGCCCAGTATTATATATTATCATTTACCTTAGGAAAAGACACGTCCCAAAAGACTGATTTAAAAAAGAAATTATTTTAACTGTTACTCATATGGACAAAAATTGGTTCCGTGGGCGTATTCGAAGTTTAAGTCATTTGGGCGTAACCTTTAACATCGTAGGCGTGTCCTTTCATTGAATGAGATCACATGCACATAACCTCTGACATTGTAGGTGTGACATGCCCTTGAATAAACTCACTTGTGCATAACCTGTGACGCTGTAGGCGTGTCCCGTCACCAAGCCATTAGATAACCTTCTTCTCTGCCCTTGTGTCATATTCGTCTGCAAAATATTTTTTGTTGAGATGAATACAACTTTTATGAAGAGTGCGATTGACTCATGTAACATTTTCAGCAATTCCACAGCATCTGTCTTCTCCTCGCATGTTGATGGCATTTCTTGGAAACCAGAATTAGTTTGGGTGTAATAATGAAGATTATAATCAGACAAAGAGAGATTTAAGACTTCGGGACTAAATACACGCAAGTCTATTATGTTTTTTCAAAACCTAAAATCGGCATATTAATCACCATTTAACTTTCTTCAAATATTTATCACAAAGTTGAACTGCTTTTGGTGGGTTTGGCTATATACTGGGCACGTTTGGAGGTTTTACCTTATATGGATTTGGCTAATATTCTGAGCGTGTTGATAGGAGGTTTTATGATCTTAAATGGGTTTGGCTATATACTGACATGTTGGTTGAAGGTTTAACTTTAATGGGTTTGGCTATATACTGAGCATGCTGTTTGGAGGTTTTACTCATATTCCGTTTTAAATATTTTCAATATTCCAATATTCCAAACAATCAAATTGAATTTGAATTACCATACCTCTACTGGATTCCTAATCTACATAAAAATTCTTCTGAACAAAGATCGTCACGGGTTCTAGAAAATGTTCTGTGAAGCCTCTTTATTCCTCACAAAATATGAACAACGAAGAAAATATTCAAGAGCACTCTACAACAACATATTTGAGAAGCGATGTTAATCAGATGTCGATAATAAAAAACTCATAGGAAGTTTTAGAAAATTTGAAATCACAAAATTTTCCTAAAATCAACTGCATAAAAACGTACTACTTTTCAACACTTTATACAAGCATTAAGGATGAGGCTTTTTAACATCACACACAACTGCTTTTTCAATAAAAATGGAACTCTTAGATTTAAATACCTTGTAATTAGTCATCTGTGAAATTATTTCGTTAAAAACCATTCTGATTCTACACAAAAGTAATTCAAAGTTGATTCTGAAAAGATACTTGAGTTTCTGATTGAAAATATATGTAGTTTTTGGAGATCAGGTCTTCCAACAATCTGTTGTAATTCCCAGGGGTGCTAACTGCACCCCTTTATTAGCAGACCAGTTATTGTATTCATATGAATCAGAATTTCTTCAAATGCTACTACATGAAGACTCTTGATATGGCCTTCAATTCAACACTTAGATTCATTGACGACGTTTTATTAACAATATTCATTTGCATTCCTACATTGATTCGATATATCCATTTGAACTTGAAATAAAAGACACCACAGAGTCTGACACATCTGTTTCATATTTGGATATTTTGCTAGAGAAAGACTAATAGCAAACAAACTAACAATTTATCACCTGCATACGTACGTAGTTTACGTCTCTCAGTTGATTTGATACGCAATTAAGAGCATGCTCTTACGTATGAACAATTTTAAAACGAAGCAAGCTATTGACTCTTTGATAATACATAGAGGATATTCAATGTTTTGTAAATGAATATGGAATTTATTTCAAGAGTGGGACAGGATTTTTTTTATATGAAAATATCAAAAAATCCTGTCTCACGAGTGAAATAAATTCCATATTCATCTACAAAACATTGAATTTTCTGTTTACTACATTTTCTTTGATTTTCCCTTTGCCTCTGTCTTTTCTTAACACAGTGTCATAGGCTTGACATCATAGTTGAGAGGTTGAGACGTCACAGCTTAGCAGTTCTGAGATTGAAAACATTACATAGCATGGATTTTAGCAACATATTTGGGAAGAAATTTGCAGTTTAGCTCTATCAAGATCGTTAGTTACTATCTCTATCTTATGACAGTCCAGAAATTATTTTTTACTTACTTTGATATCCTTTCACACTGTGAGAGAATATCATTTTGGTATCCTTTCACACTGTTAGAGAATATCACTTTTATTCAATAAATAAATCACAGTATTTCACTGTTGAAAATGTAATAAAAAGATATCAACAATCTCATTTAAAGTCATCACTTTGCAAATTCTATTGTCGATACAATGACCTTGCTAGCAAATACAATCTATCGTTAAAAAGAATGTTGACTGAACTTTTTTTTTTTTTTTTTTTTTTTTTTTTTTTTTTTACAAATTGTTAGGCCATTTTTTCAACACTGAATTGCCTAAAAAAAAATTTTCGTTTGTCCGATCATGACAATGAGCATACGGTAGAAGTGACCGGTCGACAGGGGATGCTAACTCCTTCATGGCACCTGATCCCACCTCTGGTGTTTTCAGAGGTCTGTGTTTGTGCTAATCCCAATTTGTGCTGTTCCAATGAACTTTTGAGCTTGATTACTGTTCGTTATCCTCATGTTTAGTTTTAATAGGTTTGGCTTTATACTGAGCAGTCTGTTTGAAGGTTTTACTTGACTACTGTTCGTTATCTTCATGTTTAGTTTTAATAGGTTTGGCTTTATACTGAGCAGTCTGTTTGAAGGTTTTACTTGACTACTGTTCGTTATCTTCATGTTTAGTTTTAATAGGTTTGGCTTTATACTGAGCAGTCTGTTTGAAGGTTTTACTTGATTACCGTTCGTTATCTTCCTGTTTAGTTTTAATAGGTTTGGCTTTATACTGAGCAGTCTGTTTGAAGGTTTTACTTGACTACTGTTCGTTATCTTCATGTTTAGTTTTAATAGGTTTGGCTTTATACTGAGCAGTCTGTTTGAAGGTTTTACTTGACTACTGTTCGTTATCTTCATGTTTAGTTTTAATAGGTTTGGCTTTATACTGAGCAGTCTGTTGGAAGGTTTTACTTGATTACCGTTCGTTACCTTCATGTTTAGTTTTAATAGGTTTGGCTTTATACTGAGCAGTCTGTTTGAAGGTTTTACTTGACTACTGTTCGTTATCTTCATGTTTAGTTTTAATAGGTTTGGCTTTATACTGAGCAGTCTGTTTGAAGGTTTTACTTGACTACTGTTCGTTACCTTCATGTTTAGTTTTAATAGGTTTGGCTTTATTCTGAGCAGTCTGTTTGAAGGTTTTACTTGATTACCGTTCGTTATCTTCCTGTTTAGTTTTAATAGGTTTGGCTTTATACTGAGCAGTCTGTTTGAAGGTTTTACTTGATTACCGTTCGTTATCCTCATGTTTAGTTTTAATAGGTTTGGCTTTATACTGAGCAGTCTGTTTGAAGGTTTTACTTGACTACTGTTCGTTACCTTCATGTTTAGTTTTAATAGGTTTGGCTTTATACTGAGCAGTCTGTTTGAAGGTTTTACTTGATTACCGTTCGTTATCTTCCTGTTTAGTTTTAATAGGTTTGGCTTTATACTGAGCAGTCTGTTTGAAGGTTTTACTTGATACTGTTAGTTATCTTCCTGTTTAGTTTTAATAGGTTTGGCTTTATACTGAGCAGTCTGTTTGAAGGTTTTACTTGACTACTGTTCGTTACCTTCATGTTTAGTTTTAATAGGTTTGGCTTTATACTGAGCAGTCTGTTTGAAGGTTTTACTTGATACTGTTAGTTATCTTCCTGTTTAGTTTTAATAGGTTTGGCTTTATACTGAGCAGTCTGTTTGAAGGTTTTACTTGATTACCGTTCGTTATCCTCATGTTTAGTTTTAATAGGTTTGGCTTTATACTGAGCAGTCTGTTTGAAGGTTTTACTTGATTACCGTTCGTTATCCTCATGTTTAGTTTTAATAGGTTTGGCTTTATACTGAGCAGTCTGTTTGAAGGTTTTACTTGACTACTGTTCGTTATCCTCATGTTTAGTTTTAATAGGTTTGGCTTTATACTGAGCAGTCTGTTTGAAGGTTTTACTTGACTACTGTTCGTTATCCTCATGTTTAGTTTTAATAGGTTTGGCTTTATACTGAGCAGTCTGTTTGAAGGTTTTACTTGACTACTGTTCGTTACCTTCATGTTTAGTTTTAATAGGTTTGGCTTTATACTGAGCAGTCTGTTTGAAGGTTTTACTTGACTACTGTTCGTTATCCTCATGTTTAGTTTTAATAGGTTTGGCTTTATACTGAGCAGTCTGTTTGAAGGTTTTACTTGATTACTGTTGTTTATCTTCATATTTAGTTTTAATAGGTTTGGCTTTATACTGAGCAGTCTGTTTGAAGGTTTTACTTGACTACTGTTCGTTATCCTCATGTTTAGTTTTAATAGGTTTGGCTTTATACTGAGCAGTCTGTTTGAAGGTTTTACTTGACTACTGTTCGTTATCCTCATGTTTAGTTTTAATAGGTTTGGCTTTATACTGAGCAGTCTGTTGGAAGGTTTTACTTGATTACCGTTCGTTATCTTCCTGTTTAGTTTTAATAGGTTTGGCTTTATACTGAGCAGTCTGTTTGAAGGTTTTACTTGATTACCGTTCGTTATCTTCCTGTTTAGTTTTAATAGGTTTGGCTTTATACTGAGCAGTCTGTTTGAAGGTTTTACTTGACTACTGTTCGTTACCTTCATGTTTAGTTTTAATAGGTTTGGCTTTATACTGAGCAGTCTGTTTGAAGGTTTTACTTGACTACTGTTCGTTACCTTCATGTTTAGTTTTAATAGGTTTGGCTTTATACTGAGCTGTCTGTTGGAAGGTTTTACTTGACTACCGTTCGTTACCTTCATGTTTAGTTTTAATAGGTTTGGCTTTATACTGAGCAGTCTGTTCGAAGGTTTTACTTGTACGGATTTTCTCATAAAAACACAACTTGAATTATTTTTTGAAGTATATGTTATTTAAAGTAATATTTCATTATTTAGGTACAAAAGGCAAAAAAAAAAAAAAAAAAAAAAAGCGTACATTTCTTCTACAGGAACATTAAATAGGAGTGAAGAAGCGTGTTTTCTACGTACAGATATGTAGGTACCAATGAGAGAAGCGTTAGTCATCGACACATCCAATATCCTCTGAATCAGGCGAGGGTTTTCATACACTTGGTGGGTCTCCGTCACCCCACCCGTCAAATCCTGTAGGGCCCAGTTCGTTAGACCCCCACTTATGTTTTCGTAGGATCCATAGCATCTACAAGAGGTGCACATACAAATGTGTATGCATTTCATGAAATGGTATGGACTAAAACATGCTTGAAAATTCAAATAAAAACAAATTAAGCTTGCTACTGAGTTAAAAAAAAATATTCAAATTAATATAAGAATGTTAACCGAAAAAAAGCACTTTCAACATTTTTGTTCATAAAACAATATAATTACGCGAATCCTACAAAATGTTTGGTAAATTCCCGCCGAAACATTGATAATCAAATGTATGTCTTTCGGATCCGCTCATTTTGTTTTCCCAATTGCTTAATTCTTCTTCTATTACCACCCACTGATTATTTATCTATAAAGAAGGAGGGATGTTATGTCTTCACACGCGTGTGTGAGTATCTGTCTGTCCGTCTTTACTTCTATATGTCATTATTTGAACCGATTTTGGTAAATGCAAGGCGTGCCCTGATGCAAACTGCAAAAATTGATGTAATAATGTAAATCAAGCAAGGTCTTTTCATGTTTTGTAGAATGCAATTTCACAAAAAAGTTATCCTCTTACTTTGCGTAAGCCTTTTCAAACAGCGCAGGCCAAAATTCTTGTTTATCAGAACTTCTTAGATAGATCAACTCTCCTGAATAAAGAAAAGAATGGTCAATTACTTTCTTCATTAGCAATATAGACTAATGATGCACAATCTTCGGTCCGGGCAATTTTTTCTATACTTTGAGAGGTTATTTACCCCCTGGAATGAGTTATTAAAATTATACATAGTAAAGTTAGTAAAAAAATTACCTTGTATCCCCTAGAAAACGAGGTCCCCTATTACATTGGTAGGAAGAGTCATACATATGAAGCTTTAAAAGTGAAGGAAATCCCCCCCCCCCCCCCCCCAACAAATAGGGTTTTCACGGGAAAGAATTCTTGGCTTTGTTTTGTTTTTTTTTCTGCTAGTCAACAAATTTCTGGGTTCGATTTTGTTTTTATGACTGGGCTACCCCCTCCCCCTGGAAAAATTCCTGGATCGGCGCCTATTTACCATTAATGGTTGGCAGACGGTCGTCAATGACAACGTCAATCCATTCTCCGTATCTCCAAAACCGGAAGTGGAAGACTCCCGCGTATTTGTTGGTGAATCCTTGGTTTTCTGGAATGCACCTTTTCACTAAGTTTGGTGCCAATGTGAGACAAGAAAAGGCGGCCACCAACCAACAGTTACCTAGAATCGAACATAAATTCGCTGTGGCTATACCAGATATCGAGCTTACAGTGAATATATATTAAGATATTTACGATAACCAAAATCCATTACAACCTTACCCAACTTTCCTTGTAGCAGGTCAAATCGACTAAATCCGTTAGCTGTGAATTTAGGATGTGATACAATTTCCTAAAGAATGAAAAAATCCACTTATGTGATTTCAACACAAAGTGATCGATTTCAACACAAAGGTGACTTAAAATGTAGAATTGTTTGGACCCTTAAATGTTGTTACTCACATACGGTCTTTTCCAGATGATAGGTCCTATGTTTGGTCTGTAGCTATAGAAGAGTGATCTGTCATTGGCTGGGAAATCATGGTCTTCGAACAAGGTCCGCCTGTCGTCAGAAAGAGGTCAACAAATCAGACACAGTAGGCACTCTGACTATATATATAGAAAAACTGCATTATAATGTAACAGATTCAATAAAACAAGTGAATTCTACAATGATATCATGAGTGCAAGAAAACTCACGTTAGAAGACAGTTTTCCTGAATCCTCTCAAAGGTAGGTGTCTCCTTATTTTTGTCGCTTTGTACAGAGGAGACGATGGAGGTGTTAAGTAAATGTCTCGGACTACTTGGCTCCAATGTTGTGACGTAATTCTTGTATCCGGGACGTTCCTGGTGCCGTCTGACAGGAAAACTAAAAGATGTAACGTTCTTTCTCGGGCTCTCCATCTACGACATCTACAAAGTTCAGGTGCATTTCATCATTAAACATTCTAAAATCTAATAACCTACTTTTCAACTGCGTGTTGCCACACCTACTGCCTTAAATGTTACTTTAGAGATTTGCAAATGATATGTTGGGTATTTGGGAACCGGTTATAATTGTACACCTATTACTACGACAACAAAATAGTTCATATCAGCATATAAACTCATTTCTGATGGATTTCAAGTCTGCATTTTGTGTCAGAAATTTACCTATGTAAATGTATGTGCGTTTAGCGGTTATTCATACTTTAATCTTCTATCTTTTATTTTGCTCAATCGGAATATGTTGAAATGATAACTTTTTTTTCATGGCGCATAAAGAAAACGAGAAAATTCAAAATTACATACTTAAAGACTCACACTTGAATGATGAGAATGTTTTAATGAAACTTGTATACATTTTTTTATCGATTAAGCATAATAATACACTATAAAAGTACATAAATCTTTTTTTCCACAAAAACACAGGTAATTTGCCATGAAAACTACAAATGTACATGTAAAAGCCCCAGTGTCTGTAACATGTTCTCTAATTGGACAGTGGTCTATTGTCCCTCCCAGTGTGGGTCTCTTTATGAGGGTCTAGTCCCTCACAGCACCAGGGTCAATGACTCAAGGATTTACTCGTTATCTGACCATTGTAGTATTGTTTCCGTGCAATCACATGACATTTTTTCCAGTTTGTTTAACTTTTTAAGCTTGGATTATTATCGTCCGTTGTGACAAGGTTGATTTACAAGGTCTTCCTGATTTAAACATTTCATTATGAGCTGCATTTTAGAGAAATTTATTTTTTAAAGATGCATTACTATAATAATTCTACGTGTAATTCAAGCTCTTATGACAATAAGACTAGAACAAAGCGTTACATTTTGTCAGAAGATAGAGTGTACTAATATAATGTATAGTATTATATTAGAAGTGTACCATTTAATATATAGTATTATTTATGACGTGTACTATCTAATGTATAGTATTATATAAGACGTGCACTATTTAATATTATTAATATAAGACTTTTTATACAAAACATCAATAATGCGATCTTGCCTCAGTAAGTGCTTTTTCAAAATTTTTATTCCAATGCAAATACATGTATGGATATCTGAAGTTTATAAATCTTAATTTTTTTCCGTCTCTGAAATAGTAAATTATGTACCAAAAATTTCCGACACGAAAATCGCAGCTCATATAGCTTTTCCTTGTATACAAGTATTTGGGAAAAAATTACTTACTAGCTGCTAGTCCGCCAGTAAAATTTGCAAAATAAAGGAACCGTTGCAAGTCCTGGACTTTTTTGCTGTAGACACTCCAGACACGGTTACAAGATGTAGAAAAGTGAAATGCTTCCAAAGTATAATGTATAGAGAATTTTCAGGAAATACTGAAGTTGTAGAGACCACCTACAAAACCCCAAAGCTTCAGTATATATATCCACATAACATTAATGATGCATTTATCCATTCTCTGATCCTCATAACATTAACGCTATCCATAAAACAAGTGAAGGTACTGCTCATAAGGGGTATTCCCAGAAACATTAAAATGACTGTCTAACAAACCTTGTCAATATACACAATTTTAAATAAGTGGTGATCTATTTACCCCTGCGGAAGAAAGATAAAATATGATATATCCTGATCGCCTGAATAGTTTTAGTATAAGTAACGACGACTCCGTCCATCCTGAACGGGCACCTGTTGTTATTGAAAAAATGGAGACATTTAAATCAAGTGGACCAACTCGTGTATTGAATATCGTGTTGTTTGCACTCTAAAGACAATAAAAGACCTAACTTCGTTCTGTACTTTATTCTTCCTCTGCCAGGCTCTGGGAGGAACTTTTTCGTAATTATTAGATGTATACATCATCTGGTAACAAAACTGTCACATTGTTTGGCTGTAATCATGGTCTGGAATTCCGCCTTAACACTGAATAAATTGTATTGTTTGCACATTCATAGCAATAAACAATGACCAAATGTTAAGGCATATTTTAATCTTCAAACTTTCCTGAAGTTCAACAATGTAATAGTCGTCAAAGTTTCTACTTTAAGCTATAAGTAACATCTATGCGCCAATATTCTCACGTCATCCTCAATAAGAGAAAGTACAGCGTCATTTCTGCTAAGGCACCCCTCCCCTTCCTTCCTACAATTCAGAAACACATAAAAGTAAGGGACCGGAGTTGTGTGAAAAAAATATTATCCAAACGTTGAATAACTTGATTCATATTTTCTTCAGAATGAGAGTTCTTTCAATAATTGCAATACTGCTTTTCACGGAACCGTAATATCACGTTTTCACAATTTGAATAATGGGCATTATGATGCCTTAAATGCACACCTGTTTACGTTGTAGGAAATGTCATGATAAAAATATAATCTACATTATTGAAGCATTATATACTTTCCTGGTTATTAATACTGTAGATCATCTTATTTTCGCAAGATGGTCAATATTGGTACATGTACGAGGGGATATCAAAAAGTTCGTGGACTAGCGCCATAAAATTAAAACCGCTAAAGGTACATCATGAATCATTTAAACAATTAATTAGCATAATCTTTTCTATGTATATAATAAACTATAAATCATAAATTTTATTAATTTTTAATAAATTGTTAATGGTTTTGTAAGCAATGGTATGTCCAGGCGGCGCAACCTCTAAGATGACGTTTTTTCTACCTGAGTGTTACTGAGAAAAACTCTTTAGTTATTTTACTCACCAAAAACTCTTTAGACATGAGCATTTTTCATCCAAAAATCCTGTGAATTCACTCATATGGTTGGACACACTTATTCCGTAAATTTTGCAATTTTTACTTCATTCTGTCAGTTCTATGAAATTTTATTGTAAAATTTATATGGAATGTCCAAACAATTAAGGGGTTGAAAATGACGTCAAAAAGGGGAAGGGTTTCTTTTTTCAGCACTTTATAAAGATTCACCCCTGGAAAAACTAGCATAGACCTAAGAAATGTTTAAACGGGCTACAGAGAAATGAAATGCATCCAGAGTACTTTTTTTAAATGATGAAAAAGATTCAGAGAAAGGAGAGATGCGCACTTAATGTGTATTTGTAGACAGGGGGTGTCCAAAGTCAGTCACGTCGAAATGTGACGTTGATCTTGTGTGGTAGATATAAAAACTCCGACCAGAAAATTATGCTGGCATAATCAAGTGAGGAGCGTTCCTTATGTATAGATCCATTTACTACATTCAGCTGTTCTTGAGATTGTAAAATTATATTTATAAACAAGACCAGTTTGAATCGTTATTTAACTACAGGGAATCTCGACAAGTAAAGTGTATAAAATAGAGGGAGTGGACATTGAGAAACAATGACGTTGTCGGACGTCAACAAACTAAACGGCGACAGCGCCGGGTGATCATATAATGTCTTTTTAATTCAATGATAATTTGGCAAATTATCAACGTATTAAGATAAAATTTCAACACTTCTTAAACTTTTGTTGTTTTATGTTCCTTATAAATTTTGTAAGCTAAGACTACATAGTATTAATTTTATCGCATCAGTCCACGAATTTTTTGACAACCCCTCGTACATGTATTTATAAATAAGGCCAATCTTCCTGAATATTGGTTGTTGTATATAAACACCATATATACAAAAAAAATTTCGCAAATAGAATTAATTGGCAGAGCGTACGTAATAACGCGAAAATAAAGCTCTCGAGAATAAAAAGTGATTTACAGTAACTTTTTTCTCTGAAATGTTTATCATTGGAATATTACTGCTACAATGAATTAATAACACATGGACTGGAGAATCTTGTAATGTACTTTATAATGGCTATAAAATATATATTACAAGTTTTATTTGTAATATAACTACAATTTAAACATAAATAATATACAAAATTAACATCACAAAATATAAAACAAAAATTTAATTTTTCACATCTACTGTAACTACAACAATAAAAAGAATATCTCTAGTATACATAAAAAAAGCTCTTTTCAAAATTAATTTATACATAGCTAATAAAGAATAGTTAGCTTTGCATGTAAAAAGAATGTGTTGATTTTATTGAATACATTAAAGTACTCTTCAAAAATGAAGATACATGTACATGTTCATTAAAACAGTTCTTAAATCAGTAGACGTTTATGTTAGCTGAGGGACTTGTTATATATATCACAGGTGACAGGTTGCGGTAGACATTTTTACGCTGAAGGAACCAGTATGACATCAGCCGTTAGGAAGATCATCAATGTTAAAATGGCAGATCTCGGCAGCATCCTCACCTATGGAGTGACAAACACTGAGTCTGGAAAATAAATCAGTCAATCATTAACTCAATGATTCACAATTTGATATGTTTAAAGTAATGCAAAATGAAAAATTGGCACTAACTTAAGATCATCCTCTGTTATGGTCCCATTCTGTATCAATTTGTCCACTTCCTTCAAATTCTTAGCACCAAGATTCTCTATGCATTGCCTATGTAGAGTACAATAAATAGCATTCAATAAACAGCCTGCTATCACATATTTACAAATGTTCAATTCAAACTTACACCAATACATATATTATAAAATATTTTTTAGTAAAAAAAAGAAAAAAGCCCCAGTGTGACAAATTCTTATGTTGTTGAAATAGTGACTGTATTCCCTCTATGACCTATTAAACATCATTCTGCACAACAAGTTTGTCGGAGAAGTTTTATACAATATACATCTCCGTACAATTTGAAAGTAAAATTTAACATTAATTTTTCTTTCAGTAGAATAAGAGGCAGAAATGTACATCTTTGTGCTTCGTCTTCATTAGAAAACTATGAGTAAGGGGTGACAGCAGAGATTGCTAAACCACATTCCTTCCAAAGAAAGAATCACACACATGACTGAGTAATCTAACCTTCCACACTAAGAATCACACACAGTACTGAGTTATCTACCTTCCACACTAAGAATCACACACATTTCTGAGTTATCTACCTTCCACACTAAGAATCACACACAGTACTGAGTTATCTACCTTCCACACTAAGAATCACACACATTACTGCATAATCTAACCTTCCACACTAAGAATCACACACTCTACTGAGTTACCTACTTTCCACACTAAAAATCACACACTCTACTGAGTTATCTACCTTCCACACTAAAAATCACACACTCTACTGAGTTATCTACTTTCCACACTAAAAATCACACACTCTACTGAGTTATCTACCTTCCACACTAAAAATCACACACTCTACTGAGTTATCTACTTTCCACACTAAAAATCACACTCTCTACTGAGTTATCTACTTTCCACACTAAAAATCACACACTCTACTGAGTTATCTACTTTCCACACTAAAAATAACACACTCTACTGAGTTATCTACCTTCCGCACTAAAAATCACACACTCTACTGTGTTATCTACCTTCCACACTAAGAATCACATACTCTACTGAGTTATCTTCCTTCCGCACTAAAAATCACACACTCTACTGAGTTATCTACTTTCCGCACTAAAAATCACACACTCTACTGAGTTATCTACTTTCCACACTAAAAAGCACACACTCTATTGAGTTATCTACCTTCCACACTAAAAATCACACACTCTACTGAGTTATCTACTTTCCACACTAAGAATCACACACTCTACTGAGTTATCTACTTTCCACACTAAGAATCACACACTCTACTGAGTTATCTACTTTCCACACTAAAAATCACACACTCTACTGAGTTATCTACTTTCCACACTAAGAATCACACACTCTACTGAGTTATCTACTTTCCACACTAAAAATCACACACTCTACTGAGTTATCTACTTTCCACAACAAGAATCACACACTCTACTGAGTTATCTACCTTCCACACTAAAAATCACACACTCTACTGAGTTATCTACCTTCCACACTAAGAATCACACACTCTACTGAGTTATCTACTTTCCACACCAAGAATCACACACTCTACTGAGTTATCTACTTTCCACACCAAGAATCACACACTCTACTGAGTTATCTACTTTCCACACTAAAAATCACACACTCTACTGAGTTATCTACTTTCCACACTAAGAATCACACACTCTACTGAGTTATCTACTTTCCACACTAAAAATCACACACTCTACTGAGTTATCTTCCTTCCACACTAAAAATCACACACTCTACTGAGTTATCTACCTTCCACACTAAGAATCACACACAGTACTGAGTTATCTACCTTCCACACTAAGAATCACACACACTATTGAGTTATCTACCTTCCACATTAAGAATCACACACTCTACTGAGTTATCTACCTTTTAAAGATGGCTGTTTGTCTGAACTGCTGCTGTAGGATCTTGTCATCAGCAAAATAAACATCCACAGGCTCCAGTTCCTGGGCTTCACGAGCCTGAGTGACGATCTCATCTAAATCCTGTAAGGAATAAATTACGAATAAAGCACCAGTATCACATGAAATAAATATCAAATGGGCCTCACGAGCCAGAGTGACAATCTCATCCAAATCCTTCATTTATAAATATACACATACAGTGATCAGTATCACATTAAATAAATATCACAAGAGATTCTCAAGCCTGAGTGACAATCTCATCTAAATCCATAAGGTACAAATATACATGTACAGTATCACATCAAATAGCTATCAAAAGAGCTTCATGAGTTGCCTGAGCGACAATTTCATCCAAATACTACAAGTAGCACATATACTAATGTATATAATAATAAGTCTAACAAATTCCAACATAGCATGAGATTTACAGTATTAATCTCATCTAAATTGTGCAGGTAAAAATGTATCTCACCAAATAGATATTTCATCAAATACTAGAACATCATCACATAATAATTATGTATGTAATTTCATACACCTATATTCATCGTTTATACTGTAAGTGTATTTTAATCCTTTAATATTGATCATTAGCTAAAAATCTATGAGCAAATGTCATTTAAAAAAGATTTAATACACTCGGTATATTTGTTTAATCTTTAATTTTATATGTTATGAACTGACCTCACTAGAGTCGTACTCCTCAAAATCATCATCGTACTCAGCATCAGAACTGTCTGCTGCCATCTCACAATTGTCAGCGATATCTGAGGAAAAAATGGTAAACATGACACTAAATGTTCAGGAAACTGTGACTTCATGATATCAAAATGTCACAGAGACTTACCTTCCTCATCAGAAGAATCAAAATCATCAGAATAGTCTGCCTTCCCATCACCATTCAAGTCATTCATCACTGGAAAAAGATTTAATTAAATATGAAGATGTCAGGTCAAAGTTCACTTTCACAAATCTATCCCACATGACAAGAGAGTGACACATTACCTAGACCACTGTCCTTCTGTTGTGCAGATTTGGAGGCTTTCTCTGGAGATCCCTGTCGTCTATGTATAGCTGGACTGGCTGATACTGAATTATTTGCACTGTAAAGATTTGACAATATCCAGTATTACATAGATGACACAATTTAATATTTTTCAAAAGTTTTAAATAATCATTACTTCATTTTGGTCTTGGCACATTTTGCAACTATTTTAAAATATTTTTTTTCAATACAAAATCTTAAAAATATGACAGTTAAGTCAAATAAAATACACATATTTCAATTTTGTTTAATGTCCAGAAACACCATGTGCTTAGTGTCCTTTGCTCTAGTGACTGGTTTATGATTTAGAATGAGAAGTATAACTTTCTTTTCTAACCTATTTGATTTTCTGTATGTAACTCTGAGATGTGGAAAGGATCTAACATTCCCTTACCTATTTCCCTTACTTCCTGACTGGTCCATTACACTGAGATGTGGGGAGTGTCTAACATTTACTTACCTATTTCCCTTACTTCCTGACTGGTCCATTACATTGAGATGTGGAAAGGATCTAACATTTACTTACCTACTTCCATTTCTTCCTGACTGATCCTTTACATTGATATGTGGGGAGGATCTATCATTTACTTACCTATTTCCTTTACTTCCTGATCGGTCCGAAACACTGAGATGTGGGGAGGATCTAACATTTACTTATCTATTTTCTTTACTTCCTGATTGGTCCATTACATTGAGATGTGGGGAGGATCTAACATTCACTTACCTATTTCCTTTACTTCCTGATTGGTCCTACCACTGAGATGTGGGAAGGATCTAACATTTACTTACCTATTTCCTTTACTTCCTGATTGGTCCTACCACTGAGATGTGGGAAGGATCTAACATTTACTTACCTATTTCCTTTACTTCCTGATTGGTCCTACCACTGAGATGTGGGGAGGATCTAACATTTACTTACCTATTTCTTTTACTTCCTGATTGGTCCTAACACTGAGATGTGGGGAGGATCTAACATTTACTTACCTATTTCCTTTACTTCCTGATTGGTCCTACCACTGAGATGTGGGGAGGATCTAACATTTACTTACCTATTTCCCTTACTTCCTGATTGGTCCATTACATTGAGATGTGGGGAGGATCTAACATTCCCTTACCTATTTCCCTTACTTCCTGATTGGTCTGTTACATTGAGATGTGGGGAGGATCTAGAATTTTCTTTGTTGGTCTTTAACTGGAGTAAGCTCTCCTTTTCTTGTATGAATTCTGCCAGATGCTGTTTTATATAGGACATGTTTAAGAGGGCACTGGCACTGCAGAATAAAATTACAGAATTTCTAGGCAACTTCTGTTAAGGTTGCATTCTATATATTTTTTAAAATTGTTTGAAAATCCTTTATAATAAAATACAATAAATAAAGCATGCAATTGATTAATACATGGAATGTCTCAAAAAGTGAACCTATTCAAGTATAAACTGCATTTTTTGATATGTAATGTAATACATCTAACCTTGGTCTGTCCTCCGGTGTTTTTTGTAAGATGGAGGTAACAAGATCATGTAAGGATTTGGAATACTGAGATGGAATGGGCTTCAAAAATTAATCAATCATGGTTAATTTTTCTGTGAACATGCAGTGGTACTTAATAATAAATATTTGCAAAATTAATGAATATATATAGGATCTCCCATGATTGTAGTTGGATATGATTTTTATCCAACGAGTTGTGTGTTTTTTATCCCCGAGCCTTGGCGAGGGGATAAAAACACACAACGAGTTGGATAAAAGTCATATCCAACTACAAATCATGGGAGATTCTTTTTATCCCATGTTTAATACTTCACAACCAATGTTTTACACTGTTTTATATAGGACTCCACTTTATTTTACTTCATCGCGCTAACGCAAAAACCATTGTGACGTCACAACTGTGGATTATGAAAAATTTATTCAATGAGTCATATCCACGGGATAAAAGGGTAAACATGGGATAAATTATGATTTTACTCATTTTATTAATATGAGTTGTCTCCCACTGACCTGATACTCAGCTTTGATTATTTTAAACAACAGGCTGACAAGATTCTGGGCATCAAACGGGGGACACAGGGTACTCATCTCATAAAGAACGCAACCTAATGCCTAAAAAATAAACTTCACTTAAACTTTGAAAATAACATATAGACAAATATCTGCAAGTATGTGGGAGGTATTAACCCTGGCTTTCTTTAAGAATTCAGTGGAGTCTGCAATACTTGTAAGAATTTGATTTTACTCTGTGGAGACACTCAGCTCAACATTTTTTTTCTCATTTGAATTTTCAAAAAAGCTTATATACCTGTTAAACTCTGTTATTTTTAAAATCAGACTTTTCAATAGCTTTCCAAAGTAACCATGGTAACAGTCTTGGCTCTTGATATCAGATTTACCGATAGCTTGGTTATTATCTACCAAAATATCTGTTTTGGTGAAGTTTACCCAAATATCAAATCAAAGATCTTACCAAGATTTGTAACTTAAAGATTACATGCTCATATATTTTTCTTACATACCTAGATATCATACTTTGAGATCACTGACACCTAGATATCTGACTAAAAAACCACATACCCAGTCAGACTCATATATCTGTCTTACATACCTAGATATCAGACTTTGAGATCACTGACACCTAGATATCTGACTAAAACATCACATACCCAGTCAGACTTGGAAATAACTGACCTAGATATATAGCTAGAAGATCAAATACCAAAATATTAGACTTTGAGATCACTGACCTAGATATCAGACTTGATCTCTTAACAGATATCAAATTTGTGGATCACATACCCAGATATCAGACTTGGAGCTGTATGGAATATCCTGACAGAGTTCAGGGCTAAGATAAGAAGGAGTCCCAACCACAGTTTTTGCCACATCAATAGTACTGTCTAGGACCTTAGATATACCAAAATCACCTGTAAACAAAAGTAACTGTATCAATAGTACTGTCTAGGACCTTAGATATACCAAAATCACCTGAAAAATAAGGACCTTAGATATACCAAAAATCACCTGTAAAAGAAGGATCTTAGATATACCCATATCACCTGTAAAACAGGGACCTTAGATATACATGTACTAAAATCACCTGTAAAACAAGGACCTTTGATATCACTACCACCTGTAACAGAAGGATCTTTGATATACCAATACCACCTGTAAAAGAAGGATCTTAGATATACCAATACCACCTGTAAAAGAAGGACCTTAGATATACCAATACCACCTGTAAAAGAAGGACCTTAGATATTCCACTACCACCTGTATAAGAAGGATCTTTGATATACCAATACCACCTGTAAAAGAAGGACCTTAGATATACCAATACCACCTGAAAAAGAAGGACCTCAGATATACTAATACCACCTGTAAAAGAAGGACCTTAGATATACCACTACCACCTGTAAAAGAAGGATCTTTGATATACCAATACCACCTGTAAAAGAAGGTTCTTAGATATACCAATACCACCTGTAAAAGAAGGATCTTAGATATACCAATACCACTTGTAAGAGGAGGACCTTAGATATGCCAAAATTACCTGTAAACAAAAGTATCTCTATCAACTGTACTGTTTTGGACCTTTAGATATAGAAAATTGCCTGTAAAAGAAGCTATTGTATGAAAGGTATTGTCAAGGATCATAGATATACCAAAATCACCTGAAGCACAAAAAAAAAGTCACTCTATTATTCAATAGTACTGTCTAGCTAGGATCTTAGATAGACCTTAAAAGTGTCTATCTAGAACCTTAGATATACACAAGGAGGGGGGTACAAATGTAGTTATTTCAAAAGCTACAATTTGGGAGTTAAATAGCAGTATTATTAGACCCCCTACTGGTGATACCAGAGAGGACTAGAGGTTTCCTCCTCATCTGTCCATCTGTCTGTCCTTCTGTCTCACTTGTTTTTCTCCACTTTGCAGGATTTAAGCTGATTTTTGGCATGTGAGTGTACATTGATGAGTTACAGATCATGTTTGAATTTGTTCTACTTTGATGATCTATGAGGGAATTCTGTCTTTTCAAATATTTCCCACTTGGTTTTCTGCATTTTTTTTCTGAATGCTTGCAGATATTTAGCTGATTTTTGGTATATGAGTCTGCCTTAAAGGGTCAAAGATCAAGTTGACATTTTGTTTCACTTCAAAGATTTTTAGTTGTATCATGGCTTTTTAATTTTTAAGGGGAACCAGATAACACTTGCCAGTAGGGGACTAGTATTGCTAGTGCAGTACTCTCAGAATGCTTGTTTATTATAATTTCAAAGCATTATTTTACAGTTTATTATGCCCCCGGATTGAAAGATCCAGGGGGTATATTGTTTTTGTCCTGTCTGTCTGTTTGTCTGTTTATCTGTTTGTCTGTTTGTCCGTTTGTCTGTTTCTCTGTTTGTCTGTCTGTCTGTTGTCAACTTTAACCTTGCCCATAACTTTTGATTGGTTGGAGCTATGACTTTCATATTTCACATGTGTATTCCTTGTGACAAGACCTTTCTTTGGGTACCATCATATTTGACCTTTTGACCTAAACCTTGGAGTATGACCCACTTTTGCAAAATTTTATGAGACTTTAACCTTGGCCATAACTTCTGAACAGTTGGTGCTTGGGGTTTCAAACTTCACATGTGTATTCTTTGTGACAAGACCTTCCTTTGGATACCAACAACTTTGACCTTTTGACCTTGACCTTGGAGTTTGACCTACTTTTGAAAAACTTTAACCTTGGCCATAACTTTTGAACAGTTGGTGCTTAGGGTTTCAAACTTCACATGTGTATTCCTTGAGACAAGACCTTCCTCTGAATATCAACCACACTGACCCTTTGACCTTGACCTAGGAGTTTGACCTACTTTTGAAAAACTTTAACCTTGGCCATAACTTTTAAAATGGTTGATGCTAGGGCTTTCATACTTCACATATGTAATCCTTGTGACAAGACCTTCCTTTGGATACCAACCACTTTGACCCTTTGACCTTGACCTAGGAGTTTGACCTACTTTTGAAAAAATTTAACCTTGGCCATAACTTTTGAATGGTTGATGCTAGGGCTTTCATACTTCACATATGTAATCCTTGTGACAAGACCTTCCTTTGGATACCAACCACTTTGACCCTTTGACCTTGACCTAGGAGTTTGACCTACTTTTGAAAAACTTTAACCTTGGCCATAACTTTTGAATGGTTGGTGCTAGGGCTTTCATACTTCACATATGTAATCCTTGTGACAAGATCTTCCTTTGGATACCAACCACTTTGACCTTGACCTTGACGTTTGACTTTTATTTAAAAAACTTTAACCTTCGCCATAGCTTTTGAACAGTTGTATCTAGGTCTTTCAAATTTCACAGGTGTATTCCTCGAGACAAGACCTTTCTTTGGGTATCAACATTTTTTATCTTTTGGCCTGGATTTTGACTTGCATTTGAAGAAACTTTAACCTTTGCCATTAGCTGCCATATGGGGGCATCAGTGTTTCACAAACACATCTTGTTTTATGCTTATTTTTGTAGCCTTCCATCTGCTTTACTGACACCTCTATTTCTTTAGTGTTTTACAATGACTTTTATTTCTGTCAAACTTTTTAATTTCTTAGATTTACAAAGAATCTGGGACCTGGGGCTGAAATTTCTGGAGTAATATCTTATGATGGCAGAAGTGAAAGCTCTCTAGGATCCCTGTGTCTTTTATTTTTGTTTTATTTCTGTTGTTCCATTTTTCCCCCATAAAAATTCATTAGATCTTGTTAATGTTGCTAGGGATTAACTCAATCACTAGGCAAAATCTGCGTTGTTGAGGAATTTAACTTATTTTCCTTTTAATTTTCATCATTTTTTTCTGACTGAATTTTAAGTTTTCTAAGCTAGCTATTTTATTTTTTTCCTTTATTACTGCAAGTAGTGTTTTTAACCTAACTTCTATGGTTTATAATCTAGAGAAATTTTTTGTTTTAATTATATATTTCCTTTTTGAAGCAAAAACTCTGTATTGAAATTGTCCTTTTTTTCTTCATTAATGATTAGGCCTTTAATATTATTTTTTATTTATTTACTATGATTGAAATCATAGACAGTTGCTCTACAGAGCTCAAGTTGTTCGTTATTCATTAACACAACGCCGACTCTGAATATAATTTACTTACTTACCTATTTACAGTGCTTCCTCATATACCAAAATCATTATGGTCAGTTTCACACTTACCGAGTTTAACAACATTTTTCTTTGTGAGGAACACATTTTCTGTCTTCAGATCTCTGAAATATAAAAGTTGCAAACTCTAAACCAGCTTTGAATAGATATGACAGTGTTAAAAATGGCAAATATATCAACCATAAAATACTTTTTAAAACACTTCTTTTATTTACCTATGAAGAATTTTGTTGGAATGTATGTACTGGACTGCCATCAGAATTTGTACGAACCACTGTAAGTAAAAAATCAGTCACATATTTAGAGATAGTGACAAAACAAATGTAGAGTCCAAACCACCGGTATAGCAGCATACAACCTGTATAGCAGCATACAATCTGTATAGCAGCATATAACTGGTATAGCAGCATACAACCTGTATAGCAGCATACAATCTGTATAGCAGCATACAACCTGTATAGCATCATACAACCTGCATAGCATCATACAACCTGTATAGCAGCATACAACCTGTGTTGTAGCATACAACCTGTATAGCAGCATACAACCTGTACAGCAGCATACAACCTGTATAGCAGCATATAACTGGTATAGCAACATATAACCTGTATAGCAGCATACAACCTGTATAGCAGCATAAGACCTCTATAGCAGTATTTTGTGACCGATATACATAGAAGTATGATAATTGTACTAAGGATTTTATAATTACCAGCGTTTTTTTCCTTATATAACTGGTACCGATAAACGGTACCATTCCCAATGCCAAAAAACGTTAATTTTTCCCAATTTTGAGACTAAAAATTCCCAATTCAACTGCCAAGCAACAGACTATGATGACAACGTATTTCTTTTTAAATGAAACATTGAGTTGACTAATTGTTTCACTTCCGCTTGAATCGAAAGTAGAGATTAGTCATAATATGGCGGGACCTGTGGTGTAGACAGCGTAGTGTTATACATTTTGACAAACTGAAAGCATGAAAATGCGAAAACAAGGGACATTGATATGAAAAACAATAAATGCTTGTTGTTTATTCTTTAAAACATGGGGTAATAGGTAATGAAGTTGGAATAAACTGAAAATACATTTCATTTGTTTAAATGCCAGAAAATTCTCCTTTGTTCTACTTCGATGCTATTTTTCCCAACTGAACCGGTACCGGACCCTTTCCCAATGGGTAGAAAAAAATCGCTGATTACTTACATTCATAATCTGTTTTTCCTCAAAATGTTTCTTTCTCTGAAACATAAAAATCATAATATTCATATCAGGCTGGATACATAAAGGTCAGTACATTTAACATAGAACTTGATCATCACTGAGTCTAAGGGAGATAAACCTTACATTAGCTGCCTCTTTAATTTTGTCGTCTAGGTTACCTCCATCACAATAGTCCTACAATAAATGTATATAATGCCAACAGTGGGTTTTACATAGAAAAGTGAATAATACTACTGAATATTTTTGAGGCTCAGACAAGATGTCTAAATTACAAGGGATAAATCTGATAGGGATTTTTGATGAAATGTCCACATGTCAATAAGGATTTCTATTTGAATCTCTAATTTCTATTTTAATCTGTATCAAATGATTAATAAAACTGATCATTTTTTACATTAATGTAATAAATTCACTCACTTGTATTATGTACAAAAACTGTTCATTTTCATCAAAAAAGGATTCATGGTAAGACACAATATGGGGATGCTTCAGTTTTTCAAGAATTCTGAAACAAAAAAACATTGATAAATACTATTATCTAGTGCAAGGCAATAAAGCTTACAGTTACATAGGTTCAATGTGTAACAGTGACAGGTCCATTGTGTAAGAATAACAGGTCCATTGTGTAAGAATAACAGGCTCATTGTGTAAGAATTACAGGTTCATTATGTTAGAATAACAGGTTCATTATGTAAGAATAACAGGTTCATTATGTAAGAATAATGGGTCCACTCTGTAAGAGTAACAGGTCCACTGTGTAACAGTGACAGGTCCATTGTGTCAGAGTAACAGGTCCACTTTGTAAGAATAACAGGTCAATTGTGTAAGAATAACAGGTCCACTGTTTAAGAATAACAGGTCCATTGTTTAAGAATAACAGGTCCTTTGTGTAAGAATAACAGGTTCATTCTGTAAGAATACAGGTCCATTGTTTAAAAATAACAGGTCCTCTGTGTAACAGTGACAGGTCCATTGTGTCAGAGTAACAGGTCCAGTCTTAAGAATAACAGGTCCATTGTGTAACAGTGACAGGTCCATTGTGTAAGAATAACAGGTCCACTATGTAAGAATAACAGTTTTATTGTGTAACAGTGACAGGTCTTGTTTGAGAATAACAGGTCCATTGTTTAAGAATAACAGGTCTACTGTGTAACAGTGACAGGTCCATTGTGTCAGAGTAACAGGTCAACTATGTAAGAATAACACGTCCCTTGTGTAAGAATAACAGGTCCATTGTGTAAGAATAACAGGTCCATTGTGTGAGAATAACAGGTCCACTATGTAGCAGTGACAGGTCCATTGTGTAAGAATAACAGGTCCATTGTTTAAGAGTAACAGGTCCATTGTGTCAAAATAACAGGTCCATTGTGTCAAAGTAACAGGTCCATTGTGTAAGAATAACAAGTCCATTGTGTCAAAGTAACAGGTCCATTGTGTCAAAGTAACAGGTCCATTGTGTAAGAATAACAGGTTCAATGTGTAACAGTCACAGGTCCATGGTGTAAGAATAACAGGTCCATTGTGTAAAAGTGACAGGTCCACTATGTAAGAATGACAGGTCCATTGTGTAAGAATAACAGGTCCATTGTGAAAGAATTACAGGTCCATTGTGTAAGAATAACAGGTCCACTGTGTAACAGTGACAGGTCCATTGTGTAAGAATAACTGATCCACTATGTAAGAATAACAGGTTTATTGTGTAACAGAAACAGGTCCACTGTTTAAGAATAACAGGTCCATTGTTTAAGAATAACAGGTCCATTGTGTAACAGTGACAGGTCCATTGTGTCAGAATAACAGGTCCACTATGTAAGAATAACAGGTTTACTGTTTAAGAATAACAGGTCCACTGTGTAAGAATAACAGGTCCATTGTGTAAGAATAACAGGTTCAATATGTAAGAATAACAGGTTCATTATGTAAGAATAACAGGTTCAATGTGTAACAGTGACAGGTCCATGGTGTAAGAATAACAGGTCCATTGTCTCTGTAAGAATAACAGGTCCATTGTGTGAGAATAACATGTCCATTGTGTAAGAATAACAGGTCCATTGTGTAAGAATAACAGGTTCATTCTGTAAGAATAACAGGTTTATTATGTAAGAATAACAGGTTCATTATGTTAGAATAACGGGTCCATTCTGTAAGAGTAACAGGTCCACTGTGTAACAGTGACAGGTCCATTGTGTAAGAATAACAGGTCCATTGTTTAAGAATAACAGGTCCATTGTGTAAGAATAACAAGTCCATTGTTAAAGAATAACAGGTCCATAGGAAGTAATTTCAGTTTAGGGGGCTTGAACTTCAGAAATTTTTGACAAGCAAAAAAAGAAGGGTCATCAGACATTATTTTTGAGGTAGCACAACTGTAAATTAGCTTTTTTCCCTCTATTTTATAATATATACTGTGAATGGGGGTGGGGGGAGGTACAGCACTTAATTACAATAACAATGTTCCAAAGTGCTGCAGTAAGAGTTTAGTATCCTTAATTTACTGTATTAGATTATTGCATCACCAGGCTGTACTTATGGTATAGTGGTATACAGACAAATGCAATATAGTTTTGAACTTTATTTTCTTATTCCCTGTAAAATTTAAGAGGTTCTGTCCACTTATTGAAGGACCTTTGTATGAATCTACGATGCTTGGTAACACTGTTCACCTCCTCTGAATCAAATTTTGAGGAAATACCACCAGCTAAAAAAATATTTTTGCTATCTGTTCCTCGAAATGTATGCCAATGTTGGGTCTAAGAACATCTGATGGTACTATATTTTAAAATTAAGAATATTTTGGAAGAATTGTCAGTAGGAAAGGTACATTGTAAAGTACATGTACATTGTGTATGACCCTAACTAGGCATTAGTGAAGTATAGACAGTAATTAACCTTATATTCTTAGTTTACCTGGCCTCTTTCTGTACTGCTTCTTTTGTTATTAATTAACCTTATATTCTCTGCTTACCTGGCCTCTTTCTGTACAGTAATTAACCTTATATTCTCTGTTTACCTGGCCTCTTTCTGTACAGTAATTAACCTTATATTCTCTGTTTACCTGGCCTCTTTCTGTACTGCTTCTTTTGTTCTGTTTTTCCTCTTTTCATCCAACTCTATTTTCTTTAATGCACAGTACCTAAACATAGTGAATGATGACTTATAGGTTACACATTTTAACATTTCAGATTTAAATATTCCATTAATCATTTTTATGGATTACCAGGGAGGGTGTAGCTTTAAACAAAACGCGGTTTGTGTGTGCACAAAAAATATTAATGCAAGTTCAATAGTGCACGATATATAAATATATGATTAATTTATCTTCATAAAGAACAACCCTTTCAATAGTGATGTCATTTTGGAGTTGACAAATTTCTGCAAAATCATTGAAAATAAAAGTTCAATAAAATCTGCTGTGATGAAGGTTACTCACTTTTTGGTTTCATTGCTGCGGGCCAGATATACAGCTCCACAACCTCCTGCCCCAAGTCTGTGAACTATCTCATATCTCTCCATAGCAATAATTAATGTATTAGAGCACTAAATCATGTCACATTCTCCATCAGTGGAAACGCCTGGAAACACATGGAATGACATCAAGCCTTTTAAAAAATACATGGATACTCATTAATATGAATCAAAACACTCCAGGAATTAAAACCCTAATGATTAATGATATGAGAATTTTCCATTCATGTGTTTTGTACCGTTACATTTCATATATGCTAAACTTATTCCATCCCTATATGGAATACTGATACAAATCTTCCAGTATTTTTTGTTACTCAAAAGACAAATTCCTAAATACTCAGTATCTTATGGAAGTTTCAGCTAAATCATGTGTACAGTGCATGTCTACTTTGTAAATTAAACATGTTAAAGAAGTTTCAATCAAATCAATGTGTAAAACAAGGTGATAATTCCAACTTATTGTTTCATAAAGATGTTTTCATTGTTAAAGGGTATTCACCTTAAACATTGAAACTTAAGTGTCCTATAAGATCACCATTGTGGGAATTAAATAAACAGCTGATCAATTAAGTTGATTAAAACATAGGATCCTGTGTTCTTTTTTTGGTTTGTTTCCGTACATTATAATACCCCAAAGACTGATCAATAAGTTTAATGAAATATTCATTTCTGTGTGAAAGAATCAAAATGACAAACAGTCCCTCGTTGTACACAGAATACAATGTTCATCACTTCAGCAACTGTCGATTCATCATATCATTTTATCATACGTAGTCAATTCTCTAGGACTCGACAGCTAGATGTAACTATTTTGACAAATAGCACTCAAAATGTTACATTATAATTCATATTCAGTACCTGACACAAAATTACCTTTCTGACTTTAATTGCTTAATCAAGTTAATGTCATTCTTTCAATTTTCAGGTCATTCCTATTTTTGTGAACTTGTAAACAATTTTTAACAGGAAGTGCAATTCTGAAGAAAGAACCCCTTTCATTGGCTCATTAATCTGTATCTATCCAATCACATGATGAAATATAACAACTACAAATGGTACGCTTTGTGGAAAAGAGCGGGAAATTCAAAATCAACAAATAAAAAAACTTGAATTTTTTGGGGGTGGGAGAGAGATTGGGTGGGAATTTTGCTCATTTGCCAGAAATTTGGATTTTATGCATATCAGAAATAACTTAATTTTCTTAAGTGAGGGAGGGATTTTGCTTTTATTCCATTTTTTCTTGATCTGCATTTCATTTGATACAAGAAGAGAGAAAATGCAACAGCTGATCAGACAAGGATTTGAACCGGGGGCCCCTTGAACTCTAAAGAGGTGCCCTTGCTTTATCAACTGAGCTGTCTATAGCCACTGGCCGTCACACACCTCTACCATTACATTCCTTCATTGGTACTCTGATAAGAGAGATAACTCTTAATGACATAAATGTCTATTATTCCTTTACAAAATTTGTCATGTTGAAATGTTTTGCCACACAAGCTATGCTATAATTGTTTGTGTTTTACCTAAAAAATACATAATGATTTCTTTTGGAAAATCCAGAGACATAAAAAACATTATTTTAGGAATGACTCTAATTCTTGGCCAAATTATTCGAGTATAACCTGGTTTGGGTCAGTTTACGCTTTATAATCCGCGAAGCGGATTATAAAACAGCGTAAACTGACCCAAACCAGGTTATACTCGAATAATTTGGCCAAGAATTAGAGTCATTCCTTATAATTTAATTTTAAAATCATTAAACAACTGTGGGTGTAAAATTTCGTTGCTTTTTATTAGTTCAAATTTGCCGCTCAATAATACAACCCTAGTAACGGAAGTGATGGGAAGCAAGGGGAGGTAAAAACTGATACATAGTCCTAGCAGCCATGTTTTTTGTTTGCATGTGGTAAGATCCGAGTTATTGTTTGAAGCTAAAGGTACATTTATTAAATCTGGAATTTTCCATGAATCCCGAGGACTGGAAATGAGAGCATTGCATGGATACAGACGATTCAGCTGGTTGTCAGGGGGGTGTGTCCCCATACCAAACCAGGTTATACAGAAATAATTTGTGTTCCTTTTTGGATATTAACCAATCAGAGGCTAGAATACAAACAAAATTAAATTATTAATTTATGTCTCTGGAAAATCATAAGTCTAGAGTTAAAGAAACATTTTATATTAGTGAGCAGAGGGTTTATGAACCTCATTGTCTATACCCCAACTCTGAAGATGTCACATATACCCAAAAGCCAGATTCTTTTGACCCCAACACCTGCAAATTCATGGATGGTCAACTGCACTTGAAAGGTAAGAGGAAGAGAGAAAATGCCATGGACCAGGCCAGGATTTATGGACCCAACACTGATATCAGAAAGATATGGATAGAGACATTAACTGAAACATTCTTAATTCATTTTTAAAATTTTTAATTCAGATGTATGAAATACACAGCTAGTCATCAATGAAAACTTAGCCCAGACATAATTTTAAGTTGCATGTTTATATTTATTTCATTCTCCTTGAAATTCACAAATGAATCAGCTACAAATGAATGCATTTTACATAACAAAAGACACAATCTTCAGTTAATTAATGATTAATTAATTCCATTCTTTCTCAATGGTTATGACTTGAAGTTTGAATACTGATAATTGACATCAGTATTTTCATTAGCAGTGTAGCGTCCAGTTGTCTGCCCTGCGTTGTAGGGCTGACGGGTCTGGCTTCTCTGTCCAACAGGTGCTCCAGACGTCACTGTGTCCTGTATTGTTATTGGAGTGTTCCACAAGGTGTGTGTTGGAGGAAGAATATCCTCATCCATCTTCTTCTGGGTTTGTAAGACAGGGGAGTAATTTTTTTGAGTCTCTGATCCTGTTTTTTGGGACCTGACAATGTATGTGTGCAAAGTTACTGCCCCTGAACTAGAGGGCACTGTTTGTTGTTGGTCATTTCTCCTGGCTATGGTGACGTACTGGGACACTGGGGTGTAGGACGTCTGTAAACTGACTGGAAGGAGGGAGACAGTGGGCTGAGTGTGAGTAGATGTCAGCTGGTTTGAACTTGTGTGTTCCTGGTTATCGATCAGTATAGAATTAGTCGGATCTGCATTCAGTTGGTATTGGTACTGTAGCTGTTTCTTTATTGGAGACATGTTCTGAACAGGGATTTCTTGTGGAGTGATTAATTGTGTGGACTGGTTCATGTTCATATTATTCTGAGATGAACCGTCCTGCAGCTGAACATGCTGAAGATGAGCAGCAGGAACCATCTGTATGTAGGTTTCACTCTGAGACTTGGCTTGCTGTCCGTACGACCTTCCATTGTTGGCAAGCATAGACTGGATTTCCTCGTTAGTGTATGTTTTGACACCTTGACTGACTGTATTAATATTCTGTGTGTCCTGTACTAGGTTGATAGGAGTCTCCATTGTATACTGGTGATCAGCATGATGCAGTTGTTCACCACTGACATGATTCAGCAGCAGCTGAGCCGTCTCGGCGTCTCCCATCGGCATGTCCTGAGATATTGGGATATTGATGGTCTGTAAGAGGTACTGCTGGGGGTCCTGTAGGCCAGACGATGAGGTTGTTCCTGCACTACCAGAAGACTCAATCAGTGAGCTCAGTGTGGAGTGTAAGGGAGTTATATCAGAGGATTCACTGCCCCTTACTTGAGATTGTGCTGCAAGTTTTGGACCTCCTAAAGCTGTGAGAGATTCATTGTAAGTCTGACTGTCCAGTAAATCTACCTCTCCCTTTTGATTCATCACCATCACACTCTGTGGTTTAGTTGATGCTTTGGAAGGATTTGATTTTGTCTTCACCTCTTTTTGTACGGAGTTTGGAGGTTCCTCATAATCTTCATTCACCTCTACAATACACAGAACCGAGGGGCTATCAAACTTGATGCTCTCCATGAGGTACTTGATTTCTTCAGGACTGAGTTTATGTTTGTTCGTGAGGTGGATTCTCATATTTCCTCGGGTTGTACTTTTATATGTACACTCCGGACACTGGAATGGCTTTTCACCGCTGTGAGTTCGCTTGTGTACTAACAACTGGGTTCGAGTTTTAAATGTTTTGGTGCATTCTGTACATGGATGTTTACGTACTGTACTGTGTTTATGGTATACATGGCTGTTCAGGCATGTTCTGGATTTGAACCCTGTGCCACAAGTTTCACAAACAAAAGGAGTTTGTTCCACATGAATGAGTTTGTGGTCCTTCAGCTGAAATTTTGTGAAGCATTCTTTTCCACATATGTCACATTTATAAGGCTTCCAGCCTTTGGGCAGAGGAACTCCATGTCTGAAATACTTATGGTAGTGCATGTAATAATGATTAGCATCCTTAGTAACATAGCCACAAATATCGCAGGATTTAGGAGTAGCCTCCCTTTTGCCAATCTCTATGTGACTAACAGAATCTGCAACACTCATTTCATGGGTTTTCATGACATGTGTGATACAGCGCTTGGGAAACACAAACTCATTCCCACACAATCTACAGATGAAGACCTTCTCATCCTCTGGGACCGATTTTGCCATGTCTTCAAGTTCAGAAGCATATCGGCTTATCCCCGAATATGGAGTTAGTTTAGAGGATCCTGAAGTCTTGCTTTTGGTGGGTTTCTTTTTCTTCTTGCCCTTCGTACCATGCAGGGGTTTAATGTTGGTGAATGCAGTTGGCTCATTCTTGAAGATGTAGGAAGCCATCTCCTCCACTTCTTTTTCTGCGAATTCTCTCGCTCTCTTTTTTGGGGGCTGCCTGGTGGTCTCTGATTTCAACAGTGGAGAATTAGTCTGTGCTCTCCTGAAATGAGAAATTCACATTATGAGTTGTATAAGAGATATCTCCATACAATTGATAGAGCTTACTTTCTCAGATTCACAATTTTATACTTAGTAAGTACATCTTTATTCAATCATTACATCATTTTTTTAAATTATATCTTTTGAATAAATAATTGGACTTAAATGATATTACTAATTAATGTAAAACATTTCAATATATGTTTGAAGAGATATTTTAAATTATAAAAGTATAATGGCAGGTTTATTTATTTAAAATGCTGTGACAAGGGGAATAACTCTTTCATAATGGATTGTAAGAATGTTTTGATTTTATGATTATTGTATGTTGAATAAATTATTGGACTTAAATGAAATTACTAATTAAGTAAAACATTTCAATATATGTTTGAAGAGATATTTTAAATTATAAAAGTATAATGGTAGGTTTATTTATTTAAAATGCTGTAACAAGGGGAATAACTCTTTCATAATGGATTGTAAGAATGTTTGGATTTTATGATTATTGTACATTTAAAGAACTGTCATCCTTTTCATTAAATTTGATATTATATATATACTGCATATACTTGAGGGTAACACTGAAAATTTTCACTCCAAAAAATCATTGTCAACTGAGATGCAACCAAGGTTGATAATGGCTTTTGAGGGGTGAAAATTTTCAATTTTACCCTAAACTGCATGCAGCATTTATTATACAAAATGTTTTATAAAAATAAAGGTAAACTGTACAGTCCATATTTTTTTTGGTCAAACAATGTTGACTGTTGCTAAGTACTATTGCGCTAGGGGTGTGGTTTCATCATTCAGAGGGTAACAGTGTATTTTAACAAATGTTTCTAGGTCAATCAAATTCAAGAAATTTACATGAAAGTATAATATTAATATTTATCACATGTTTAGTCCTTTATGCAGTGGATAGAGCTCATAGGATATCATTTTCATATCCACGATTGTGACATCACAATGGTTTTGTGTGAATTTAATCAAGTCACATATTAAAGGATTTACACATATAAAACAGTGTAAAACATTGATGGCTATGTGTAAAACATGTGATAAAAAGAATCTACCATGGTTTGTGGTTAGATATGATTTTTCATCAAACTTGTGTGTTTTTATTCCCTCGCCAAGGCTCGAGGATAAAAACACACAACTCATTGGATAAAAAATCATATTAAACAACAAACCATGGGAGATCCTATATGTATATTAACAGTATGATTTTTCATATGTAAAGACCACATCATGTACAAATGGAATCCCCAGGTGTTGCTTTATTTCTACAGTAGAGACCTCTGTTACTTACTTTTTACCCAGGCCTTTCTTGATGCTGCTGAGAGTCGCAGACTTCTTCAGTGATTTGAACATTTTCCCCTTCCTGGCCCCCTCAAACACAGCCCTCTGCATCCCTGACTGTGTTGTGATGGAGGGAGGAGTGTAGTCACTGTCTGCATCATCATCCACTTCCTCCTCAGACACCCCTCCTAGATCCACACCCAGGCTTTCTGAGGACTCTTTGTTGCTTGCAGTCTCCTGAGCTAGCATGGAAAGCCTTCTTTTTCTTGGGTGATTCAGATATGAAGTCTGTGCCACAACAGTGGGAATACTGCTCTTTTGCTTAGGAGAGACAGTAGTTTTATTCTCAGTTACTGGCTCTGGTTTTGTTACTGCAGTATTTGGTTTCTTGGTACTGTTTCCTTTCTTTAAGCTGCTGGTCAGAGTTTGGTCTTTAAATGTCTTCTTTTTCACCGTGCCAGACTGGGTACGGGTCCCATACATGTGATTGACAGTGGTGGGGATAGGACACTGCTTGTTGGCCTCTTTAATGGGTTTCTTTCCCCCACTGGTTGGAGGTTTACTAACAGTCTGATCCTCCTTCTTTGGGGGTGTTTTCTGAACACTTTCTGGGGCAGCCGCAGCTTTCTGGGGTGATATGACACTAACCACTATGGAGATGTCTTCATTTGTGACTTTCAGTAAGGAGTTATCCAGTTTGTAGTGTTGTATGAATTGTGTACAGATCTTTAGGAGATGCTCAAGGTGGAACAGCTTTGCTATCCTGGCAAACTTCCCTACGTTTTCTGTTGTGATGGTTACGTTTCCATCGTACAGGTAGTGTACCAGCTGAGAGGCCACTTCTACAGGAATTCCAGCAGGTAAGCTCACTCGTATAGACTCACCAGGACTGGGATTAGCCATCTTGTTCATCAGAAAAGGGCTGGCTGCCATCAAAACAAGTTTGTGTACCTGTTATAATAATAAAATTTGTGATTTTTGAGTAGAAATGTAAGATAAAACACTGATAATTCAAAAATGTTTGTAAAAAAAAAAATCAACAACCAATTTAAACACTTAAATATTGAGAATGTATAAAATTCAAAACTTCTAACATTTATTTTTGACTTCTGAAGAAAATACAGGTATCACATATAATTCATCTTAGGAGTATTATAAATCTTATTTTTAAAATTTGATAGTTTTGGTTGTATTTTTGGGAAAACAAATATAATCCTGCTTCCAGCCTTCAAAGAGGATGGTGTCACACTTTGAATTCTCTCTCATTATGTAATAAGAAACAGTTTCTGATCATACCCTGATCTCTTTGCTTCCAGCAACAAGAACAGCATCCCAAAACATGCCCTGCTTCAGCAACCCAAACATCTTGCTCATCAGCTCTCGGGGCAGATTAGTCTCGGTGTAATCCTGTGTGGCGAGTTTGTCTTCCGTGGTCTGAGGTTCTGCCTCCATTCTCATCACCTTCTCACTGATGTTATGTCTTGGCTTGTATGGCGTTGTTTTCATTGCTGGGGGTGGATCTGGATTTTTCATGGGTGTTGGGAGGTCCGGAATGACAGAAACTGCTGTAGGGGTGTTATCTATGACGTTGTTTCTGTAGGCTGGAATCACTGCACCGAACTCACTTCCCCGTCCAGTGTAGCCCTTTGGAGGTTTTATCATCAGGTTTGTGGGACTTTTGTATGTCATGACAGGAGTGTTTGGTAGGTCTTTCTGGGAGTAATCTTGAGCAGAGACATTGCCAGTGTTTAAGTTGTACTGGTCACACCCACTTCCAGTATAGGAAGTTTTACCTGGACTTGTATAAGTGGACTTGTATGATGTCAAGTGAGAATTAGCATGATACTGATCAGTCACATTAGATGACAAATAACCCCTGCTGGAGGAAGGTGCCATGTTATAGTTGCTGACATATCCATGTTGCATGGCTGTGTTGCTCTGACAACTTGCTTGCAGGTCTAGTGGTTGCTGGTACAGCCCCATGTCTTCTTGTTCATTCATTGTGGACAGACTGAGGTCAGTAGCCACAGAGATGTCATGTTGAAACCTCTGGTGGCTTCCTTCCATCTCCCTGAAATCAATAAACAAAATATGCAGTGTGAACTAAATTATTACCAGACATTTTTTGTCAGGTTGTTATAATTCCTTCTTAACATAGATTTTGTTTGTCTATCTTCTAATCTTCAGGGTTGTCCCTAAGAATTAAAGAAGCAGGGGGCATTAAAAGAGTAGAAGGGGATCTGGGATTCCTTCCTCAACAAAGGGATGAGGAGAAATACCTCATATTTCATAGAATATGCGGGGGATTGAATCATTATAGGCATGGAAATTCCCCAGCCCCCAGGTTTTAGGGACAACCCTGTTGTAAACATTTGTTTCTTTCTCTCTCTTTTGGGGTGGGGGGAGGGGGGGGGGCCCAAGTCAAAGTGAACTGCTTATTTTAGCAGTTTATAAACAGTTATTAGGCAGTCTGGCAATTTTTTTGGCAGTTTTTAGGCAGTTCTTAACAGTCTTAGTCTTAGCATTCCTTAAAACTGCTTACAGACTGGTTAAAAAACTGCTAAGAATTTGTGTAAGCAGTTCAGTATTGAACAAACTTAAGCAGTCAAACAAGCAGTTTCTCAAAACTGCTAAAAGTGCAACTAATTCATTTTGACTTCTTATAAGAAGTAATTCAACACTTTTTCACTCTTGGTGGTCCTAACTTTCACTAGCCTTCATTACTGCCCATGTGTTACTGTTAATGCTTCCTGATGATAACGTCACAAATAATTGGGGGCCAGGCAGGAGTTTGTTTATACAGAAAATAAAATTAGAAAGAAAAAAATATATACTAAAAATCTTACTAGAAATGATACAATAGTTTATAATAAATTGAGGCTTCATATTATAAAAAGCATGAGCATATGAGCTTCTAATCTTTATCCCATCAACTTGCAAATCCAGTCCTCTAGTTACATTAACAACCTGCTGTGTCCCCCTTGGTTGCTTGAAACTAAAGGGTTGTATCCAATGAGGAAAGCCAGTCAAGATTTGTGCGCCTTTTCCACATCAGTTCAAAATTACAAATTGTGAAGATGTTTGTGATGGTCTGGAATATTATATATATTTATACCCATACAGTGAAGAAGTAAAATATATGCTTTGGAAAATACAATTATCTGTGATCACCACATCCAGGATTGGATGTGAACATAATATTTAGTGACAAGTGTATCTGAATTAAATTCCATGAGATGGGAAATCATTATTATAAAAATCTGATCATACATGCATTCAGCAACAATGGAATTGAGTGATATAGGAAAATTTTTAAAAGATTTGTTGGCAGTAAAGTATTATGCTTCAGAAAATATGGTAAGTGTGTGGGCTTGTGATATAATAGTCATCCCCACTCTCATTTGGATAACTGTTAAACTATAAAACGTATAATCTAGTTTGTATTTTAATTAGTACTTAGTATAAATTCAAAATATTTGCAGATAAATTTAAGCTATACTGATAGAGGGATCTGTAGATTAGTCCACTGTATTAATTAACCAAGCTCTAAAGTTGCCACTCGTTTATGCAAGAAAATGGACTTAATGAAAGGACTTATTTAATACAATTCATACCTGATCTAAATCTCAATACTAAGTTAAATTCCCATATGTGATGTTATTTTTTTCAATAGCATAAATTATATGCATTTTTGTATTCATATATCATGTATATGGGTGGTGTTATCTTCTTATAAGTAGACAAGAATAGTACTTATAGCATTCTTTTTACCGGTTTTTAAGCAGTTAATCAATTTTCAAATTTATATGTAGGTCACTCAGAGTCATTTCCATATAAGTAGAGCAAACAAAAGAAAACACCTTAAGCAGTTATTAAGCAGTTTTTAAGCAGTTCTCCTTAACCTTCCTATTGACTGCTAAGATACTGCTAAGGAAACTGCTAAGCAACTGCTAAGTTACTGCTAATGAACTGGCTAAGTACTGCTTAAATTGTGGACTGCTAAGAAAACTGCCTAATGATCAGTATGACAAAAACCTTCTGCCACCAACAGAGGAGAAGGCTAGTAAACTGTCTAAGAACTGCTAAAGCACTGAACTGTTAAGGTTAAAAAACTGCTAAAGAACTGCCTTCCACTTTGACTTGGGGGGGGCATGGTTTAAAGTGTTCTGTGTGTGGGTGTTTTTTCTTCATAATTTCTAAATTTTGGAGGATGGATTTTAATCATTCACTAATTGATGCATTTCATAATACAGCAGAAAATGTGCAATTATTAATAATTTGTTATAATTTGTTTATTGTTTGAATTCTAATTATTCACACAAATGCATGTCCTGTAACCTTACAAATTATAAAGGTTGCAATTGTCTACTGTACACATGCACAAACATGAGGCCATTGTGTTAACTCCAATTTTTTTTTCTTCGCTCATTCCTAATTTATATTCAATGTATGAAAGCACAGTATAAAGCTATTGCTACTTTTATTACCTATTGTAGACACAGACTATACTTAACCTGTTTACTTTGTAAAAACAGACTACAAAATAGTGACCTTGAAAATATAAACAATTCCGTTATGTCTTGTATCAAATAAGTCGATGGAAAGGAACTTCATGGCGAGTTAAAACACAATAACTTAATTGACAGCATATTTTGAGTTTCTTTTCTATCCTCCCTACATGCATACCCACCCAAGAAATAGAGGATATTCAACAAAAAATCCTCAATTTAGGGTAAATCCATCGATGTTGCTTCAAAATGGCTACTCCGCACAGCGTCGACGTAATGGGGTCAAGCTCGCGATGTTTATTAAAACCTGCATCGAAGTAACATATTCTTTTTTTAATTTTCTACTGTACAAAATACATAAGGTAATTTATTTTTACATGTAGGACTAATGAATTCTTCGAAATGTTCATACATTGAGATATTTAATACAAATAATCACTTCCTCTATAATAAATTACAGTTAACTGCCTAAATATAGGCCGTTCTCGAAGTCTATCTATTTTTAGCACCGGGAAAGATTATCATGAATTCTCTTCGCGGCAGTATTTGAATTTAAGATTTTACAACACATTATATTTATTCTAAAATATTACAGCAATTTTGTCAAAAAATCTTGCCTGTAAATGAAAACTACATTCATTAACTTTCTCCGATCAAGTTTTTAGATAAGTAGTACAAATTATACAATTTTATCACATGTGTATCCCGTGGATATCACTCATTGGATATTTTTTTTTTTATATCCCACTGCTGTCGTCACAATGGGTTTTCCGTAAAAACGATGAAGTGAATAGTGTGGATTCTTATATAGAAACAGTGTAAAACATTGAATTTGGTGTAAAAAAACATGTGATATAAAAGAATCTCCCATGATTTGTGGTTGGGTAATATGATTTTTATTCAATTCGTTGTGTGTTTTTGTCCTCTCGCCAAGGTTCGGGGATACAAAAAACAAAACAAAACCAAAAAATTCTTTGGATAAAAATCATATCCAACCACAAATCATGGGAGATCATATATATCTGTACTAGAATAATAATTTATAAAGCAAAACAAATTTAAAAAAAAGCTCTTACTGGCTGCGGGTGTATATAAATATTGTGACCAGGGGTGAGGGGGTTTCGGGGTTGGGGGGGGGGGGTCTACAAGCACCTGTGCTCAAAGCCACAGGCACTTGGGGTCTGGACCCCCCCCCCCTTCCATTTTTTTTTCTTTTGAAATATGGGGTCGAGTCACCTTTTTCCTATTTTTGTATTCTAATATGCACTATATGTTATCAATAATGTAACTCTTTTGTCTCTATATGCTGTTTTTAAATATACCGTTTTCGACTGATACATAAAAAGAGGGAAGGCCTTCCCTCTTTTTATGTATCAGTCGAAAACGGTATATTTAAAAACAGCATATAGAGACAAAAGAGTTACATTATTGATAACATATAGTGCATATTAGAATACAAAAATAGGAAAAAGGTGACTCGACCCCATATTTCAAAAGAAAAAAAAATGGAAGGGGGGGGGGGGTCCAGACCCCAAGTGCCTGTGCTCAAAGCGAGACAATTTGAACAAGTATATTGTGACAAAATGAAATTAAGGAAATGTAAAACACTTGTTTGATTGAAGATAACATCGGGGTGAACAAAACAGTGGAATGTCATAGAGTGTTGACCCAGAAAAGAAAATTGGACAATATAATTAATTAAGTTAAACTGAGTTAAAAAAGAAAAAAAAAGAAAAAGTGAAAATGAAATGAAAAAAAATGTACTTGTTCAGTTCCATATAAAATTAGTGGGGTTACATGGAAGCATACAGTCAAAGTTTCCAATGACACCAGCAAATAAAGCGGCACAACTATGAATCAAATAAATATGAAGTTTTAAGTAATTTACAGAGTCGATGAAATTTTTTGACTCTGAAATTCATCTACAGATGCAATTTTTTCAACTAGTCAGAAATATCTTACGTTTTCCAGGCGTTTTTCACGATTTTGATATTTTACGTGCCAGGGCCCGTTTTACAAAAGAGCTTTAAAGACTAAGACCAAAATGTAATTTTGTGAATAACTTTCTATCTTACAATAATTTCAAAATAGTTTTAATCTTTCTCAAAAGAAGTTAGAAAAATAATTTTATGCAAGCAATTTTTAACAGAATCATTTATTTAATAAGATTTCTCAATCAATTAAAGTTTTTAGTCATAGTCGTAAGTTCTTTTGTAAAACGGGCCCCAGGTATTCAAAATCGTGAAAAACGCCTGGAAAATGTCAGATATTTCGGACTATATTTCAACTTGTAGTATATATTTTCAATTGTTCCGCGAGGGTTTTAGATAAGCCCTGTTTTAACACAGTCCCTAGTTTAATATTGATCAAATCAGAAACTTGTTTTAAAAAAATGGACCATGTAAATGTAAATTACGAATTAAACTGTCTGGCCTGCCATATAAAATATAATTTTCTCTGTTGCAAACTGAATGTTGTGTTAGATTTGTTCTTATTCATTACAGATAGCGATTCCAAGACTAAAAAACGATCGACATAATGAATTCCGATTGTTCCTTTAGCAGACGAATCTGCACGCGCTTGATGATGTCATCAAAATTGAGTAGTAAGTAGTGTATAACGAATATTTAAAGAAGTTAAGAAAATTAAAGAAAAGTAAAATGTACAGGTCGAAATATAGTCCATGAAAAATGTAGATCTTATTTTTATTTCTCCCCAGGTGTTAGATCTAAAAGAAAATCAAGGAACCATGGATGTATTGGAAAACGATTTCATAGACTACCAGTACCCCTTGTCAGTCCTCGAAAAACTAAAGACATTCTGGCTCACCAAAACACTGTGTGATGCAACTCTAGAGGCAGGACCAGTTAAAGTCTACGTATGAATATGAAAAATTATTACTCCATTCTTTATTACTCTCTACTCTTATTATTTATTTATTTATTTATTCAATTTGACAATATTATTCTCTCTAAGGATATGCAGGCACGTAAAATCGTTTTTGAGAGGAAAGTAGGGAGGGAGGAAGGTTCCAAAATTGTTGACAAGAATTTTTCTTAAAATTAACATGGGAGGATTTTTTGACTATAGTACAAAATAATGGAGGGGCGCAACTGGTACTTCAATGAACATTTTCATTCTAAATTAACATTATCATTATGGTATTCAGACCCCTTTCCTTCCCGATAACACGTGCCTGTTATAATTTAATCCTGTTCAAAGAAAAGTAGACTAAATGAAAAATGTTTACTATAAGTAACTCACTTTATTGCAAGAACTTGGCAAAACCAGTGGCAGATTGTGGGGGGGGGGGGGTGTTGGGGGGGGGAGGGGGGTGTAAATTAAACCCTTCTCATTTTAGATCTTTTTGGAATGGTAATTTTTAAATGTCTTAATTGCAACATAAAGAATAATATACTTGAGAAATCTTGAGTTGTGAAGAGGTATGTCATGTGATCAAAGGACTTGGCAGAAGAACTTATCATGCACAAGCTTCATCTATAGATTACATTCCAATATTTGTTGAAAATGACTGCCCAATTATTGCTTGTATGTACATCTACGTATACTTGACTGATAAGCATAAGCAGTAGTAATATCTGAAACATGCAAAATATTTTTTTTTGAAGATAAATGATAGAGATTGATTATTGATGTTGTCATAGTGATATCACAATTGACATGAACACCTAGCAAGCAATTAAATACTTAAATTTTTTTTTGTAGTTTTGTATGGGTACAAATTTGGTTGCTTCCTTTGGTGGCAGTTAATCGGGATAACATTTTTATTTAGGTCCATCGCCTGATCTTATTGGCAGCAATCCCAGGGTTGACTCAGATGCAGATTTCGAACTCAGAAAAGCCGTTAGAACTTATCCTTCCAGCTAGCATTAAGACTGATGCCCTGAACAACATAGTACATTACTGGTACACAGGAACACTTCATCTAACCCCACAGAATGCTCCATGGGTAGAACAAATTGTCCATCTCTTAGGACTGGAAAGCCTCTTTGCATTCTGCAAGCAATATCACAACTATCTTAGGCAAAAGAAAATTCTGATTCCTGCATGTGAGCTCTTCACAACCCCAGTTGTTGTCCTGTGTGAGTTAGAGAGAGTTACACAGCTTCATTATCTGGAATCAAAGGATCATTTATCTCATTTTCTGAGACAGCACTCCTCACTCATTCCTGTAGTTGTAAGAACCAAAGAAAATGTTTCACATCAAGAGGCATTAGAAACAAAAGTAAAGAACGATGGAAATGAGATTGAAAATCCAGAACTAGCATTAAATCACAGTGATTTCACACTAGGAACATTCCCTCAGTCTTCTCTTAAAGGAAGATTACATTTTCAGATTTGTCGCAGTACCGGAGAGGGTGAAGAGAGTAATGCATCCGTATGTGAGAGTCATCCTTCTCCACAAATATCAGCATCACAAACCCCAGCATCAACACAAATACCAGGGTTAGTAGATTTAAGCTATAACAATGACAATGTAGTTAGATCTAATACAGACAGTCTGCCGCAGCTACAGACGAGGGCCCCAAATATTCCCAATTTACAAGAGATGCCAGAAACCAATGCTAGGACAGGACCACAATGTGTAGAACAGAATATTAAACAAGAACCATTGTCTGACTCTGAAATGGAAAGTTGTCAACAAGGTGACAATCTGGTGAATCATGAGAATAGTGGAGATAAGAGGGATTCAGTATATAAGTTCATTTCTAGACTGGTTGATAAGTACATGGAGGGTGATGCTGAATCAACAAATTGGTCAATGAATGACAAGCAGCTCCTGAAAAACCAGACTCCCAGTTGCAAGGATACTACAACTATATCTTTGGAAAGAATTTTGAAAGAAAAGGAAAAAGCAGGTAAGTGATATCTATCAGGGGAGACAAAAAAATCCCAGTAAAATAAAAATATACATGTAGCTTATTTCTATTCAAGAAATTTTTTTTCTAGATTTCAAGAAACCAAATTCAAGGCAATCTGTTTTCTAATGTAAAAAAAAAAGTTAAAGAAATTATTTTATTTTGTAGATAGAAATAAAGAGTTTTTGGAGGAAACAAATCAAAAATACACCAGGACAGAGCAGCCATTAGTTATCCAATATGACACCTGTCCCTCATGTAATCTTAAATTCCACTCCGAAGATCAGCTCAAGGCACATTTAAAGCTCCACTTAACATTGTGTCCAGGTACCAGATCATCAGAAAAGCTTACTCCCAATTCATTTGTCATGAACCAAAGACCTAGTAACAGTTCATCTGAAACTTTGACTCCCAATTCATCTGTCCTGAACCCAAGAGTTAGTATAAGTTCATCAGAAAAACTGACTCCTAATTCATTTATCATGAACCCGAGAACTAGCCCAAGTTCATCAGAGAACCCAACTCCCAATTCATCTGTTTTGAACAGAAGAGTTAGTGCCAGTTCATTGGAAGACCTGACTCCTTTCCCTTCTGTACTAAATCAGAAACCAACATGCAGTGCCAGTTTATCAGAAATCCTGACCCCTAGTTTGAACCAGCCTGTGGAGAGATTGAGTACTGATCCCAGCTCTGATAATCAACAGTCCATAGGTATTTCCTCAAAGTCTACTGACGAGCGATCTGAAGATATCTCGTCAGAAACCGAGGACTTCACAGCCTACTGCCCACTCTGCCTGATTAACTTTGTATCAAGGAAGGCCTACATGGCTCACCTGAATACCTGTTATAATACGTTTCACCACAGACAACAGAACAAGTTCATGCAGAAGGAGTGGAGTTGCCTGTCTCAAGGTACGAGTACAAATGGTAAAAGTAAGATGCTCTCTTATCTGTAGTCACTTCCTTGAGTAAACTCATTTGAGAAAGTACACTGCAGATAAATTTCTTAGCTAGTTGAAAATCTAATTGAATTGAGTCACAGTAAGTTATATAAATGTAAAGTTGTGAGGGACCTTTGTAGAAGAATAGGATTGTAGCTGAGGGTATTATCTTGTTTCTTTTTATAGCAAATCGAGTTCCCTTCCAAAGTAGCTCAAGTGGTAGAATCTTCTCCTTTGTCAGGTATGCAATAACTGTGTAAAATTTAGTTATTATCCTCTGGCAACGAAGTTGGAGGGGATATAGTAATGTGCCTCTGAATGTGTGGGTGAGTGAGTGTGTGCATAACAGAAGTAATAATTAACATCAGAACTAATGTGCTCTTTTGTGAAGGAATGCTCTTCTTTGCCAAAGAAGAGCATCCCTTCACAAAAGAGCACACTAATTATTTTGCAGTGCCCTTGTTTTGCAACTTTATTGTAAATTTCAGGAGAGTACTTTGATTTTTAAAATTCTATTTAATTACTAGTAAAATTCAAGATGCACATATGCAAATGGTATTATGTAAATGAAACTCACTTGCATCCATACCCAATTCTTATGTATGAGACATGTTCATTAACATAAAAAAAAATTCAACAAATCTTGATTTTGGATTGTGTAGGCCAATTTGTACCAATAGCACCTTACCAACAGAGGATAGATGCTCAGTGAATGGTGTGGTGTATGATGTTTCTTTACCAGCAGATGACAGAAGCTTTGTAAACAGCGTGGCATACACCAGCAGCTCTTTGTCAGTGGATGTTAGAAATGCTGAAAACACAGACACTGGGCTGACACTTAAAGGAAGTCAGGTATATACAACAAAGCTCTTTTTTTTATCAGTGATATAGTTTCTTGCTATTTTTCCAATCATTTGTAAATTCACAAAAAGGCAAAATTTTGGGATAATACATTTTATTAAAAGTCTCTCAACTGCAAAAAATAGGGATTGTTGCAAATTAAATATAGTGCCTTACTTTGTCAAAATGGTATTTATGTCCTTGCAATTAAGTTGGAGGAAGTATAGTAATGGTCTTGTGTGAGGGAGAGTAAGTGGATGCATAACGGAATTTGTATTTGGATAGATGTGCTCCTTTGTGAGGGGTTGCTCCTTTTTGCAGTGCCCTTGTTAAACTTTAAGCTGGCAAGCTTTGAGACTCCAATAATGTTTGGTATGCATATTCTACCAATGCGCCAATGTCTAAACTGTGTGAAAATTAAGATCATATCCAAGGAATAATCATCAAGTAGGAATACAGTACAATAGTAGGCAATATGCAGAGTGTCAGTACATCTTTCTTCCAGGAAAAAAATGAAGTGGCATCCATAGAAAGTGAAACTTCATTGCAGAGAGGGAATGGAGATGAAAACTTATGTGGAAACACAACTGCTAATGCCAGTGGAGATCTTGCTCTCTCAGAAAGGGCTGAAGGAGAGACAGTCAGTTCAGCTAGCTGTCAAACTGGTCCAAGCAAGGAGGATTTAAAAATAAGAATAACAGATGTACGGACACTGAAAGGTATACATAATTAATGCTTCATCATTTTTATATGAAAAACGGTAGAAACCAGGAGGTTTAATGAAGTAGCTGTTCTTTTCAGAAACATTATTGTGATATTATGAATGAAGTTAAAATTTCTTTTGTGTAGGCTTGCCTGAAGAGACAAATATTCATGTAACAGCAGCAACTCTTGAACATCAGAAAATTTGTATTAATCAGACTCTGGGACAGGTGGATCATCAAAACATTCCTTGTAACAACAGACAAAAATCTATGTTTGAAGTGACAGCTGAGGGAAACAAGTTGTTCATTAAGAAAAAAGCTTCTGATAAGAAAGGTCAGAGTATAGCTGTAAATGACAAAGGTCAAAATAAAGCTGTAAATGACAAAGGTCAAAGTATAGCTGTAAATGACAAAGGTCAAAGTAAAGCTGTAAATGACAAAGGTCAAAGTATAGCTGTAAATGACAAAGGTCAAAGTATAGCTGTAAATGACAAAGGTCAAGGTATAGCTGTAAATGACAAAGGTCAAAGTATAGCTGTAAATGACGAAGGTCAAAGTATAGCTGTAAATGAGAATAATCACAGTAAAGCTTTAAATGGAAAAAGTCAGAGCAAAGCTTTAAATTGGAAAGTTCAAGATAGAACAGTTATTGGAAAAGAATGTAAAAACCAAATATGTGAAAAACCAAAAATGGATGTCACCAGAAAAAGAGGAAGGAGAAAGCAGAATAATATTGAAACAAGTGTACAGTGTCAAAAGAACCAAGAAACGGGTAGGAGACAGAAAAGGAAGAATGGTGAAACTGCACCTCCTGTGTCGTCAGCTTCAAACAAGGATAAACCATCTTTTAATTCACAGAACAGTGGACAGGGCACAGTCAAGATAGTCATTTCCCAAACTCCTATCAAGAAATTAACAAACATTGTGGCTGCTGTCACAAAGAATGAAAATACTTTCAAGTTGAAGAGAAAATACCAAGGTTTAGATGGAGACAAAACTAAAGACAAAAATTCCACAGAAATAAAATGTACAGTAGTTGCTGAAAGTAACAACACTCAAGGCAGGCAACAAATCAACCAACAGAGCAGTAGGAAGTTTTACAGATTCAAAAACCAATCCAAAGAGGCAGTCGTTCACCAGTCCTCGGTTCATAGATCGCGAGGTCACAGAAAGTCTCCAGTGGTGTCTGTATGTGCAACAGCAGATCTTCAAACAGCAAACTGTACCCAATCTCCTGCACAACAAACACAGGTTACAACCATGTACAATTCAGCCTTGTGCATGTCTCCGGCCTTGAATGTCAACAGTCAGATGCATTGTAGAAGGAGTTCCATTCAGGAAAAAATTGCAAGTGTGTACAGAAAGAACTGTATCATTATTCCAAAGGAATGGAAAAAATGGAAAGAAGACACCTCAAAGCTGGAAGGAACAGGTGCTCCATGTCAATATACAGGAACAGGTGCTCCATGTCAATATACAGGAACAGGTGCCCCAAGTCAATATACAGGAACAGGTGCCCCATGTCAATATACAGGAACAGGTGCTCCCTGTCAATATACAGGAACAGGTGCCCCAAGTCAATATGCAGGAACAGGTGTGCAATGTCAATATACAGGAACAGGTGCCCCAAGTCATTATACAAAAACAGGTGCCCCAAGTCAATATACAGGAACAGGTGTGCAATGTCATTATAAAGGAACAAGTACCCCATGTCAACATACAGTGCCCTTGAAGAAGAGAAAACAATATTGATTTGATTGGATAAACTTTTTCTTAAAAGAAACTATTTAACTGGTAGGACTATGTATTATTATGTCTATTACAATAGTAGCACTTTTTTGGTTGCTTAATTTTGAGTCAATTTTAAAAATGTATCATTTACTCAATTACTCTTTTAATGTATATAAATGATTTATTGAAAATTAATACTGCCTTAATGGTGTCTTCAGAGTCTTCTCCACTATAACAAAAAAGAAGCAATTTTAAAGTTCTCATGTTAAGGATTTTTTTTTTCATGATAAAAAGGATGTAATCAATATAAACAATCATAGAATCATTGGTACTTTGATGATTAATAGATTATTTCAAATGCAGATACTGTAAAATCTTGTTTTAAAAATATGCAAGTTTTTCAAGTGTTTGGATGTTATATCAGGTTTTAATTATTGTTGATTTTTTAAGGAGTTGATTAAGACAAGTTGTAAAGATATGACTTAGCAGTTTGAGTAGTTATAATTGTAGTGATGTCAATAAGTGAAATGAATGACTACAAGAGTTGTTTTTCTTGTGCTAATTATTTACTTTACAAATATTTGTCAAGTTTATTGTATGCTTTTTGAATTAAACACGTTGACCTGATTATTGGTTGCTAGTGTTTCAGTCATTGACACAACAGATGACATTAAGTGAATTATATTTTGTTTCTCTGAACACTTCTGTAGCCACATCTGGAGAGGCGGGAAAGTAATATCTAAATGGTTTTATGAAACTTGGAAGCATTAGGATTTACCTCTGTTGTCTTATCTGTTATTATTTTCCAAATGATTTTTCGAAAATTTATAGATATTGGATAAAGAGGAGTCGTGTCTTCGTGGAATTTCTATTCTTTTCAATGGAGTTATGGCCCTTTATTTACAGATGTAACTTCTGTTCTGTAACAGAGTATTTAAAAATTCCGTTTTCAGAATTTTTTTCTTGGTTAAACATTGGGCTTTAAAGCAGAATTTTATTGCAAGATCTTCACTAAAATATTCAGCCCTCGTAAAGAATATTTAATGAAACTGATACACAAAGTTAACATTTGTTACATGGATTTATAAAAAAAAATATCAAATTTGAAAGGAAGGAAACTTTTAGAGAAATCACCTTGTTTTGACAGAGTATGTAAAAATTACCCCTTCTTCCAGTAAATTTCTTAGCTTTGAGTTAAAAGGTTGGAATGATCAAGGGTTTCTGCTTCTCTATCTACTACGAAAGCTTATTAGGATCAATCTTTAGGTGAAAAAAAAAATAATAGAAAGACCTTTTCATAAGACATATTAACGCAAAAAGGCATAATAACGAAAAGTGAAAAAAAAAAAAAAACGTAATAACGCCCCTTTAAAAGGTTTTACAACGCCTTTTGAAGAAGCGCAAATACACCTTTTAAAAAGGCGTTATAATGTCTCAAAAGGCGTTATAACGCGAAAAAGGCGTCTGAATTGTCTGATCATAGTATTATTTGTACTAGATTTAAGTGTGGTGCTTTTAATTGCCCAGTTAAATGTGAACCATATATTGAATGCAGATCTACCCCCCTGAAAGGACAGTACATTTGGTCTAATCAATGTAAACTTGCTTATCAAACAGCCCTTGTTGATGTAGAAAGCTCTAACAGCCTAGTTGAACTTGATAAAAGTCTAAATGAGAAAGACATTAGTATTGATGATATTAACAGTAAATTAACTAAAATATACTTAACAGCTGCATCTAAAACCCTTCTCTTTAAACCACCAATATATAATTGTAAATAAGAAAAAGAAAACCAAAACCTTGGATGTCTAATGATATATCTCTACTAAAAAGAGAAGTCCGCAAACTTGGAAGAAGAATTCAAATGAATCCAAAAGATTGCAATTTATTACAGGTTTTCACAAATGCTAAACGAGAATTTAACAGAATGAAAAAGAAATCAAAACATGAATTTTATAAGACAGTAACTGACAACATCGACAACCTAAATCAGAACAATTCAAAAGATTTTTGGAAGGTCCTAAATAAAAATAAAATTAAGCAAAACTCAAATTCTTCCACTCCAGGACTTCAAGCATTTATGAATCACTATCAAAACTTACTGTGCTCTAAGGGCGATAACTCCTGTGAACATGTAGTTGAATCTGAAATACAGAAACTTACTCCCCTTGACTATCCTTTCACATACAGTGAAGTCAAGCTTGGCATTAAAAATCTAAAAACTGGTAAATCACCTGGACAAGACCTAATACTCAATGAATTTATTAAAAGTGGTTCAAGTACACTTCTAAATATATTAACAAAACTTTTTAATAAAATTCTTTTTTCTGGGGAAATACCTGAAGCCTGGAATTTGGTACAAATAACTTCTATTTATAAATCTGGTGACCCATGTAACCCATCAAACTATAGAGGATTAAGTGTTACAAGCTGTATGGGTAAACTTTTTAATGGACTTTTACAATGCCGCCTAAATTCGTACTTGGAAACAAATGACCTTCTGAGTAATTATCAATTTGGATTCAGAAGAAACCACCGTACCACAGATAACATATTTATTTTAAAAACTCTTATAAATAAGTACTTAAAATATAAGAAACAAAACATTTATGCATGTTTTGTGGATTTTACCAAAGCCTTTGATACAGTTGATCGAACTTTAATGTTATACAAACTATACCAAAAGGGCATAGGTGGGAAATTTTACAATGTTATAAATAATATGTACTCAAACACTAAATATTGCTGTAAAGATGAATCTTGCTATAGTGAACATTTTATAGCTACACGCGGGGTTAAACAAGGAGATAATCTTTCCCCAACACTTTTTAATATATTTATTGATGACTTCTACTCGCAGTTAGTTAATTATAACACAAACCCTCCTGAATTACAGAATATTGATGTCGGACATTTATTCTTTGCAGATGACTTAATTCTCCTCTCTACTACTAAAGAAGGTCTCCAAAACTCAATAGACTGTCTCTCAGAATATTGCATAAAATCAAAATTGACTGTTAACCTTGATAAAACTAAAGCAATGATTTTCTCAAATAAGAAACCTGACACAGCTCAACATTGTTTTTATTATAATCATTCAATAGTTCATCTTGAACATGAATATAAATATCTGGGAATTATTTTTACTTATAATGGTAAACTTAAGTATGCAGCTGAACACCTAGCTGACCGTGCAAGAAAAGCTTTTTATGCAATGAAACACTCTTTACCATTTCATAACAGCTTATCTGTAAAAACTCTTTTAAAACTATATTCTTCACTTATTGAACCTATCATTTTGTATGGTTCTGAGATATGGATTTCAGACTTTAATATTAATATAAACAATTGTGATCAACTACCTTTTGAAAAGATACAGCATTTAATATTTAAAGACATCTTGGGTGTACAGAGAAAAGCTTCAAATTTAGCCATTAAATATGAGCTAGGAACACTTCCTATTTCTTGCAAAGCTTTCATCTCTATGTTTAAATATTATAAGAGACTAAAAAACCATAATAATAAAAATGGAATTAGAAATCAAATTCTTATTGCTGCTTTCTTAGAAGATGACATTCTGTATAATAATGATGTAAAGGATAATTGGCAGAGTCAGATTGATAAATTAAAAAAGAAACTTAAACTTCCATCATTAGATATCACTGATAGCACATTTAGCAGCTACTTGAAGAATTTCTACATAAAAAATGTTAATTTGCAACTTCAGAACATTGAATTCACCAAATGTGGTAAATTATTATTTTACAGTCAAATTAGAAAGAACTATGAATTACAAGACTACTTGAAATTTCCAATTAATAAATCTGTACGTTCTAAATTAACAAAACTGAGAATTTCTGCACACCCTTTAGAAATTGAAATTGGCAGATATTCAAAGCCTTGTATCCCAAAAGAATCTCGTTTTTGTCACTATTCTAAAAATGTTGTAGAAAATGAAATACATTTCATATATGACTGTCCTATATATAAAGATTTGCGAAAAAAAGTATTACCCTTTGAACATCTATAATTTAAATGATAACATGTTGAAGGAAAATCATTGTAAAGTACTTTGTAATCCTGACAATGCAGTTCATTCTAGAAGGCTATGCGAATTTTTACATGAATGTTTTGAATTGCGTTCTAAAAATAGAGCACAATAATATATATTTAATGCATTAATTAGTTTATCTCTGTCCATATTATACTGTTTATACTATTTGCATAATGATTATGTATAACTTCAAGTTGTAAAAGTAGTTGACTTCACTGATTTGTACACTTGCATGTATGTATGTACTTTAGTATATGTTTTAGTAATCTGAAAACACACTGTATTTTTCATTTTGTTTGTAACATGGTTGTATGCCAACATGTTTGGTGAATCAATAAATTGAATTGAATTGAATTAAAATAAAAAATTGAAAAAAAAAATTGAAAGGCCTATTACTCCTTTTAAAAAGGAAGACGTTATTACACCTTTTGACGGCCCGAAGCAACCTTTTTTGAAAGCGGAGGGGGGTTGGGGGTTGGAGTCTCTAAAAAATTGGTACGTAAAAACCAACAATAACAACACAGACAAAACTAAACTAGAAGGGGGGGGGGGTCATTCTCTTACTTTTCGGTAAAACAGAGATCATACCACAACAATAGTTGCAGGGGCCAAGCAGCCTATAAATGACTTTCTTTTATATTTAAACTACAGCAAAACTATTCTCTTAAAAAGTAGGCGTTATAGCGAAAAATGGTAAGGTATATTAATAATTATTTGATTGGTGGAATCAGAGCCATCTTTATTCATGCAAAAGAAGATGGGTGAACAAGACGTGCAGAATGCCTATAGCTTCAGATATTAAAAAAAATCATATTCGATTTGTGAATTAAGTATTTAAAGTAAAGTTCTCATTATTGAAATTTATGAAATTATGATCAACAAAACATTTCTGAGAAAAAAAAAATATCGGAAAAATTATTCTTTTATTAAAAAAATAAAATAGTTTTCGTGGGATTCGAACCCCTAACAATAAAAATCCGGAGTATTATATTGCTTTGAGACTAACACACTACCCACTACGCTACACAGCTCCTGATGAAT